CTAAGCAGTTACTCTAATACAACTATTGGTTATCGGTTCAAGAATCAGTGTAAACAAATGTAGTTCTTAATTTATTCTTATATTGAAACTAAGCTCAATATCGGAAAAATATCACAGATCATTTGTGGATTTGTTTGTAATTATGACTACTGCTAATTACGTGTGATCTTTCATGTGGTTCCTCTTTTTTAATTGTTATGTCTACTACATTCAACCAACCATGGATGTGTATTTGTAGGTATACGGTGATTGATTTTTTTTCCTTTTCAAGAACAAACTGTGGACGGAAATGATTTTTTATGAATTTGTTTGTTCAACCAATTTATTTGAATTTCACATAAAATTTAGTGGTAATAAAGTTAAAACTTGTGTAGTTATTATCCTGCAGTTTTTGTAATACGATTATGAAATAAGGGAAGTAAATATGTGTATAAATCTTGTGATCCAATCATTTTGTTAAAATACAAATCAATGAAACTGTTTAAAATTAAAACAACCGTAAATGAATTGACACATGCACATATGCAGTTATTTCAGCTGATATTTAGTTCATTATAATTAACCACCTGAGATTAATCTGTCATGATTCCTATCTACAAATTCATATTATTCTCCACAATACTTCTACTAAGGTGTAATACTCAGATCGCCAGTGAATTACTTCAACAAGTTCTTGAAGTCCTAGTGAGAAGTAATCATTGATGGAGTTCAGATACGTCGATAGTCAAGAAGTTGACATCAGTGTCACTGGATGACCATCGTATTCTATCGCGAATTAGTTGGAGTTGAGATTTCGGTATTGAATTCTGACTTAGTGGCTCTACTGGTTAAGCATTCATTAAGAGAGTTGAATCTCCTGAATTCGACTTGTGGTGGAGATGTAAATGTTCATTGTCAAATAGTCGCGTACTAGGATGAAGCAACTGTTCAGTGGTTCATGGCTTCCAATGAAAATTTAGCAGACACCAACTTGTGAACTACGCAACCAATAAATTTAAGCCAATCCACACAAATTTTCCCTCAATTTGTTTATGAATTCAAAGTAGATTGAATCACAAATACAATTTCAATGTTCGATTTTCTCACAGATCGAATTCGAATAAAAGAAGACTACTGAATGAACGTGCTACTGTATAAAAAGTGACGGGACATTGCTTCTATACAGCCTATTTACATTTGAAAGCACTAGTTTTAACGCTATCTCATTTTACTGTAGTCAACTCTAAATATTTACCAAATTCTGATTATGAATACTAAGCGATTGTTAACCTGTTTTATATTTTGTCACGTAGAATAAATATAGATGAATTCAGAAATCAGATCCCTAATTCATCCATTACATCTTTAAAAAAAAAGATTACACGTTATTTATATGAAGTCTGTATACTGACTTACAATCATAATGAAAAAGCATTGGGTCTACGTTTCCTCTTGGATTTACACATCAATGAGAAATACTTACTTACTTGCCCCCAAATATCCTCTTACGGCCAAGTGTGTGGACAGTCAGCTCTCCCTCTCCAAATGCTCTCATATGGCCACGTGCATACAACAATTGCCAGGGAAGTCCTTTTCACTGCCTTTTCGCGGCATTACTGTTGTTTACAAAATTAAGAGTACGAAAAGCGAGTGTCCGGCACTTTAACCGGGTTGATGGGCACGGAGGGTCCACCTAGGGTAGTTGGAAAACCCTGATTTCAAACAGTGGTGCACGTAGGTCACTGGATCCTTGGGGATCAAATAGCGTATGAACACATTGCTGGTCACCGGCCACCATGGGACTGCATCTCTTGACGTTGCTCCACTGCCTTGTGGATTAGACCTTTAGGTTGAAGGCTCAGGGTGTGATCCCCTAAGAAAACCACCTGCATCGATTTGGGAACCCTGGCAGTATCTCATCCCTCACATAAATCGAATGATTTATCTGCCGCATATCTACTTGGTGCCTCCTTGTACCAATGTTTATGTGTTTGAATAAAATAAATAGTCTTTAAATAATTCAATTAGACGTGAATATTAACCCCGATATCAATAATTAGTGTATTTCACTACTTTATAACCAAGCCAATATAACCACAACCGATCTCCCATCGTGTATAAATTTCTATTTAAAACTTATTCAAAAGGAAGCTAATTACTAAATGTAATCGCAGTGAAGTGATATGGAAGCTTCCAGGAGTAATATATATCAAGTTATACTGAAGAATCAAATAATACTCAATTAGGAATTGATCGTTTTGATTGCCTGTCAATATAAGATTGAGGTTTTATTCAATAACCAACAAAAGTACACCGAGTTGACATTAGATATCGACACAAAGGCCTTTCATTTAGAATTAAATTACACAAAGCCAGGACTTCATTGTGTAGTGGAGAAATAGGTTTATCGGCAACCATGCTACATAAGAAATAGATGCCAGCTTGCCATTAGGGGAAGCGTATATACACATTGACAACCTAAATCTTATGTTAACATTTGACGTGTGAAGAGTAATGAAAGTATATAAATCATTAAACTTAGCTGGTTTTTGTTTGACTTACGAGTTAATAAAAGTTACATGAATACTCATGGACAGTAAAATGACATTGTACTAGATTTATAATTACAACTATAAATGAAAATAAGTGGGAGTTATCGATTATTGTAAAGATTCACAAATAGTGTCTAAAATATTAGTTTCAATAATACTTCGACGCCTAACTAGAGCTCGTGAAGAGCAGACTAGAGAAAATCAGGCTGGTTTTCGACCTGGACGTGGTTGTATAGACCACATATTCACACTATGTCAGATTCTAGAACACATACACACATTCAGACGCCCCACAATCGTAGTATTTCTCGACCTTAGAGCAGCATTCGACTCTGTTGATCGTAAGGTTCTATGGCCGTGTTTGTCACTGAAAGGAGTACCAAAGAAGTACATTAACCTTATAAAGGCTCTCTACTCGAACACAACTGGCAGAGTGAGAGCTTATGGCGAACTGTCATCATAATTGATTACCTCAAGTGGTGTTCGTCAGGGCTGTCCACTCTCTCCATTCTTGTTCAACTTTGTCGTCGACGTACTTTTAGAGATAACACTTTCCTCATCTGACTTTACAGGGGTTGAACTTCTACCGCGAGGTTCACTTGTTGACTTAAAATATGCTGATGACATATTTTTATTTGGTGAAGACGCTGACAAAATGCAGTCTTCTGACCACTCTAAGCAACAATGCAAGCATGTTCGAGATGTGATTCTCCCCCCCCCCCACGAAATGCAAAATGTTGCTTCAGGATTGGGTTGCATTGACACCCGAACTAATGATAGGGAGTGAAGCAGTTGAGCGTGTCGATCGCTTCACTTATCTTGGGAGTCTCATCAGCCCTTGTGGTCTGGTGTGTGACGAAATCTCAGCACGGATACAGAAGGCTCGACTAGCTTTTACCAACTTGCGTCATTTATGGCGTAGGAGACATTATCTGTCTACCAACGAAAGGACGGGTTTACTGTGCAGCAGTTCGTTCCGTCCTACTTTGTGGCAGTGAAACATGGCCGGTAAGAGTAGAGGATATCCGCAGGTTACTAGTATTTGATCATAGGTGTCTTCAAAATATTGCTCGTATATCCTGGGACCATCGAGTATGTAATGCTGTTGTTGGGAAACGGGTACTAGGTAAGGATGGCAAATCAATTGATGAAGTAGTGAAACTTCATCAGTTGAGATGGCTGGGACACGTGTTACGTATGCCCAACCACCGACTGCCTCGACATGCAATGTTCAGTGGTATAGGAGTAGGTTGGAAGAAAGCTAGGGGCGGCCAGACCAAAACATGGCACAAGTCCATGAAGTCACTGACAAGTGGTCTGAGTCATGTCGGTAGGTGTAGACTACCTGGTTGGGGACCGCGAGATGATAGCAACCGATGGTTAGAGACCCTGAATGACATGGCTCAAAATCGTTTCCAATGGCGCAGGTTCATACACTTTTTGTGTTCTCCCAAATTTTGATCTCCTTATTCCTCCTTGTCTCTTTTTTTCTCTTCCCAAATTTATTTCAATGTATTATACTCTTTAAATAACATCTCCAAACACTAATTTTCCCGATTACTGCTTATACTCTTATTACCTCTACCACTACGGGATTTGAGTCGACCATTGCATCTCTGTGCTAATGTGGTGTGGCAACTCGAACTGATGTATGTACGTACGAAGTCCTACGTTGTTACTGACTGACTCACAACATAATACACCGATATATTTATTTAAGTACACTAAGAATAAGTTGGGTTTGTTACTAGACACGTATTGCGGTGCCGTCGATTTAATGGGTAGGATAATTTAGTAAAACTAGCTAATTTGTATAAACCAACAATAAAACTCAATGAACATCGATGATCTCTATTCGTTTTAAATGTTTCTTACTTGTTGAGTTTATTTTATTAACCACTCAGATTGCTAAGATGAAGCTTATCAATAAGCTATTCAAATTTATCAAAATGGTAGTTTAATTCATCATTAAAATTTTTTAAACAATATGACCTTATGGGTATATTGCACACTCTTCAAATATAAGTAGATGTCACTTAATTCTCCCATACCAAAGAACATCAACACGCATGGTGAAACTAGTTATTTATTTTTCCACTTAAGACAGTCTATGAAAAAAGTCATACCCTAAACAGCGTCATGTTATAGACTATCCAAATTCTTCGGCAATACAGAAGCAAAGACTTTCCCTTAGGTGGATAATCCAGTAGTTTGTGTGCTACAGGTAGAGTATTAAGCTGAACTGAAAGTGGTTTGCCCACAACTTTCTTCAATGCAAGCGATCTGTACGAAGTTTGGGTCAACGTAATATAAACAGTCAACTCACTTGACCAAACAGCCCACTTGCTAAATTTTCAGTGTGCTCTTTAATACTTACTAGATGAAAGTCCCCTTGATCAAAGGGCCGCTAATTTCATGAGAACCATATAACATAATTTAATCGAATTAATTGTGAGAAACAAGTGGTAGTTAGTATAATCCAGGTGTATTTACAGATAAAAATTAAAATAAATAATCACCTGTTTGTGTAACTTAGTAGTGAGAAAATTAAACAATACAATCAAATATTGCTAAAATGCATAAACAATATACACAGAATAAAAATAGCAGTTGAACACAGAGAAACAAGAAAATCTAAAAATATAACATAATTAGAATATCACTTATTGGACCACAACAAAAAACAGTAAGCAATGCGAAACTCCATACTAATAATGAGCATTACATACAAAACAGGAATAACATTAGTTATTGATTCGGATCAAAGCCCATTGTGCTTAGATTTCTTAAACAACACAGTTGTGCACAACCGCTGAACCAAAAACCGACATAATATATGAATAAATCTGACAAAAGAGGCAGAACGGTCAACAAATCGGAAGATAAACAGGAAAAAACTTCCAAGCTCACTAAAAAACACATAATTGGCAAACAACACCGTTGCTTTGGAGGATAGATGAAAAAAGAAACTATTTAAAGTTAGCAAACGTAAGCTGAAAATAATTTATGTATATTCATATTAAACTAAACATTCATTTTCACAAGTACAGAAAAATATCTTGTTTCGAAAATATAAAGCTATGAACCGGAGCCGAAAGAATTCTCCCCACTGTAGCTTATGTATAGAAAACCATCATCATCGTGAAAGTTATGATACAGTTGACCTATTGTGGCACTAAAATGATTAAAATAAATGGAAATCACTGTATAATTCAGAGAATAGTCTGAAAAATTGGAAACGCATCGTAGAAATTCTTTTATACAATATAGTGAATAAGCATTTCACATTTCGATCCACATTAATAAGATGGAGAACAAAGCATCACAAAATATAACAGAAAAATTTATTGTCTCTCCTCAAAGCGTTCCAATTTTATTCAACAAAATAAAACGTAGATATTTATTAGGCTGTGAGGCTCATAATTAAAAGCTTGAGGTTAAAGTATGTAGGTAACTAACTCATTAGAATTATAGACAATGAGATGAAGCCACACAAATATTTGGGTGTTCAGATTACATGAAATATCTACTTACGGATATAAGCAAACGAATCTTAACATCTAAACTATATCGGTTATATCTTGTTTTAAAACAAGTAACGACGAGCACTGAAACCTACTGTATTAACAGAAATAACATCTGTAAACTGTAATGTGTAAAATACTTTATTTTTTAATAGTATACGTAGAGATTACTTTAGAGTTTTAAATTCCTTAAGTATTACAACAATTTGGGTCACGAGCACCTAATGAGGGAAGAAACTATCCCAGCTATTCTAGACAAAATTTTTACCTTAATTTGTTACCATTTTTCTAGTTCCATGTAACTTGCCTGAGTGATATCCAGAATATGTTCGACTTACATGTTCTAGTAGATTCAAATATTCTGAATTTATCAATTGTATCTTAAGCCCTAATCTACATGCGATCGTGTCTGAGCTCTTTTTTACCCTCTGTTGAACATTTTTTATATGACTTTTGATTGTTCTGTTGCACCTACTCGCATTTCCCTTATTTAACTAGTGGTGTTATCTCTCGGCTTGTAGGACATTTCACATTGTGCATACGGTGGAATCAGTGTCAAAATAATTTATATTAACATCTATTTATTCGTTAGTGTTACTAATGAAAATTGAAATAGTAGTTGTATCTGAAAATCATTGTTATAAGGAAAAGAGTGACTTAACTACATGAGAATTCTTACAGTTAGGAAGTATGTTATGCATGTGTAGGGTAGACAGATTAGAATAAAGCTGCATGTTAGCAGATCAAGACATGGTATTACTTGATCATTGGTCCGAAGCATGTTGGTGTAGGAGCAAACTTCCTGATTGGGGGCTGCTCAGCAATCGTAATTTAATGGTTAGAAAAGTTGGGTGACACGACAAAATTGATATTAGTTGCATTCATTCTTTATTACAGGGCTGAATCGTGAGTTAAGTGTCAATCTTAAATTTTCACGATTTAATCTCATTTGTTCCTTTAAAATTGTACTTTCGTACGTAGATTTCCATTGTCAGTCAGTCAGCTACAACGTAGGACCAGGCACATATGTGCATCGGTCCAGGTTGCCATACCTCATTAGCACAGCAAGATGAACACCGGATTCATAGGAGTGGTTAGGTCAAAGGTTGCAATAAGGATATAGTATAGGAAGAAAGAATTAGTTCGTAGAAAGAAAGATATGAAGTGATTTTAATCTCTTAGTTTAAGGGAAGACAGGGAGTGTATACACCGACGCCATTGTGATCGATTCTGAGCCATGTCACCAAGAGTCTCCAACCATTGGTTACGAAAGTCACGCGGACCCCAACCAAGAAGTCTACACCTCCCAACACGGCTCAGACTAGAAGTTAGTGATTTCACGCACTGATGCCACGTTTTGGTTTGGCCGCCCCTAACTTTCTTCCAACCATCCCCTACACCGGTTAGCATTGCACGTCGTGGTAATCGGTGTTCAGGCATACGTAATACGTGGCCCAACCATCTCAGTCGATGAAGATTCATAACCTCATCAACTGATTTACCATCATTCCCTAATACCCTGTGTCTAACCTCACTATTACTTACCCGGTGATCCCAGCAGATGCCAGCAATATTTCTAAGGCATCTGTGGTCAAATACTAGTAGCTTACGGGTGTCTTCCACTCTTAAAGGCCATGTTTCGCTGCCGTAAAGTAAGACAGAACGGACTGCCGCGCAGTATACTCGTCCTTTTATTGATAGACGGATATCTCGCCTTCGCCATAGGTGACGTAAGTTGGCAAAAGCCAAACGAGCTTTTCGAATCCGTGCTGAGATTTCGTCAGACACCAACCCATTAGGGCTGATCAGACTTCCAAGATAAGTGAAGTTGTCGACGCGTTCGACTACTTCACTCCCTATCCTTAGTTCAGGTGTTGACGCAGACCAGTCCTGAAGCAACAACTTGCATTTAGAGGGAGAGAAGCGCATTCCAAACATTCTGGCATTGTTGCTTAGTGCTACCAGAAGACTCTGCATTTTGTCAGCGTCTTCACCAAACAGGACTATGTCATCTGCGTATTCTAAGTCGATAAGTGGACCTCCTGGAAGGAGATCAATACCCGAGAATTCAGTCGACGAGAGTGTTATTTCCATCAATAGGTCTATGATGAAGTTAAACAAAAATGGAGAAAGTGGACAGCCTTGACGGACACCACTTGAAGTTGCAAAAGTAGATGACAGTTCGCCATAAGCCCTGACTCGACTAGTAGTGTTCGAGTAAAGAGCCTTCACAAGGTTTATGTACTTCTGAGGTACGCCTTTCAATGACAGACACTGCCACAGAGTCTCGCGGTCTACAGAATCAAATGCTGCTTTTAAGTCAAGAAAGACCACCATCGTCGGACGCCGATAGGTATGCCTGTGTTCTAGAACCTGACGAATGGTGAATATGTGGTCGGTGCAGCCACGACCAGGTCTAAAGCCAGCTTGGTTCTCTCGAGTTTGTAGTTCACGAGTCTTAGTTAGGCGTTTGATAATTATCGAGGCCAGTATTTTAGATACTATGTTTGTTAAACTAATCCCTCTGTGGTTGTCACAGGATGATTTTGACCCTTTCTTATATATTGGGACGATAAGTGATTGCGACCAGTCAGATGGGATAAAGTCTAATTCCCAGATCTTAGCTAAAATATTAGTCAACCTAATCGCTAAAATTGGACCACCATCCTTAAAGACCTCTGGAGCCAATCCATCTGGACCAGCTGCCCTTCCTCGTTTCAGATTAACTATAGCCTTTTGAACTTCAGCAAGAGTTGGGGGACCTACTTCAATGTTCCATTCACACTGTCTGGGAATGGAGGGTAGTTGTACAGTAGCTGAAGGCCAGCTGAACTGTTCTCTAAAATGTTCCGCCCATCGTTCTAAACGCCTGGACTGGGAGCAGATGAGAGTATCATCTTTTTCCGAAATAATCTCACTTACACTTGACTTATTAATTCCAGTTTCTTTTATTAGTCTGTAAAGCTGTCTTGTGTTCCCTATAGTCGCCGCCTTTTCCATCTCTTTTGCTTTCGTTACCCACCACTGCTCACGGTCGTTCCTTAGACTTTTTCTTAACCTAGATCTGATTTGTTTTCGCTCTTCATCATGTTCAGAACCTGATGGGACGAGTTTACGAGAATCCATCAGTGTGACAGACCTTGAAGAAATCCACTGGTTCCTTGCAACTCTGTGGTTTAAGTCACTAATAGATGTCACTGCTGTTTCCACAGCTGATTGTATGCCCTTCCAAGCAACATCTGGGTCAGCCTCGTCTTCACAACTACCTAAGTGTGACCTCAGTTGTTCCTGGAACCTACTTTTGATTTTCTCGTTACTCAACTCAGTTCTGACGGGTCTTTTTAATGTGGCTTTTTTGCGTCCAGTGAGGCGCAAGCAGATGCGTGCCCGTATTAGGGCATGGTCGGAGTCCAAGCAGGTACTCCAGAATGAGCGACAATCTTCTACCGACCCTCTCCAACGATGACTGATGGCAATATGGTCTATTTGAGTCCATCGTTGGTTTGGTGTAGGGGGTCGCCATGTTAGACGATGTCTCTCCTTATGCTTAAAATTTGTGTTTGCTAAAAATAAACGATTGTCTGAGCATAGCTGCAGCAGACGATCACCATTATCTGTTCGCTGTGTCGGAACACTGAAATATCCACCTAAATGCCTTTCTGTTTGGTTTAAGCTACCTATCTGAGCATTAAAATCACCTGCTACGAGTACTATGTCTGAGCGTTTAGCTTTCTGAAGAAGTTCGGACAGCTTTCTGTAAAATTCATCTTTCACTTCATCTGAGCTGCAGTCAGTGGGAGCGTAGGCAGAAACGACAAAAAGGCAACGACGTGTGTCCCTATCCTTCCGAGTTCTTACGTAGCCGTTCAGCCGAACAGCACATAGACGACTGTTGACGGGGATCCACTCTAGCAGTGTTTGTTCCGCCCTCATGCTTAGTGCTATGCCTACACCTGCCAGTCCACGAGAACTTGCCATCGGGTCACCAGATACACGAAGGGTGTATCTTGTTGGCTCTCCGTTTTGCCGAGGTGAGGTCAAGTGAATAACCACACTGGAATCCTGTATGCGTGTTTCGGAGACACAGCATACATCAATGGAAAGAGACTCTAGGGTTTTAGCCAAGGAAGCCTGCTGACCGATTTGACATAGGGTGCGTACGTTGAAGGCTCCAATGTGTAGTTTGGAGCGAGGTTTCAGTAGACCTGGGATAGTATTTTGCGCACTAGAATCGTTGGCTATGGTGACACTTGAGGTGGAAGCCGAGAGAGGAAATTTAAAGTTGAAAGTCGATGTAGGAGGAATAATAGGAATTGAAGAGGGAGGTTGATTATGAATACAGTGGTCTTGGGTGCTGTTAGAGGTATGAGGGCGGTTATCACTTCCCGGTTGCCCACACCGTGGAAGGGTTGTTCTGGAGGTACCTGAAAAGGAAATTGGATTAAAGGTGGTCTTAGTGACCTGAGAGCGTGACCGCAGTGCCCAAGGGACAACTGCTTGAGGCCGGTCGCGCACGGCCTTTTCGTAGGAGGTTTTTGACGTGTTAGCTCCGTTCTTCAAAGGGCCTTACCGCCGGAGACGGAAATCCGTGAGGTAAGGTGAGGTGTGCATTTTTAGGGTCGACCTTTTCTAACCCCACCCCTCCTTGTGGGAAGGCAGCATCGCTGTCATGCTGGTTGTCTGAAGGAAACACCTTACTGCTGTCACACCTCTGTACAGTCAGCAGTACGACTTCGCCTTCGGACCTTAGGTTTGTTGCTTTTAGTCTTACCGCTCTTCAACCGACCTGTCTGACATGGTAGGACCTTGAGGAACGGTTGTTCCAGCCAGTATAGCTCGGTTGCTTCATCACGATGGAAATTAGTTCTTCATATTTGCTTCTTTTGATGTTACCTCTCCCTGTACTGACATAGAGTATAGAAACTTACCGATAAACATTATTCCTAAAGTCCTACTTTGACAATGAATTACGGACTGATTCTGAATATCGAATTATAGCTTTTTGTTTAGCGCTGATATGAGCCGGAATGAACTTATGTAGTTTAAATAAACAGCATATACTTCAGCTTTTTGACCGGTGTTAGTTTGTGAATTTTTTTACCTAAATGCAGTAACACTTCTCCCTTGAGTATGTTACTATTTGAACAAGTGTTTGTATTTTATGTCAAATGGTACCACTGTTGTCCAAACTGAAAGTAAGGCATTAAAGATGCAAGATAAATTACGGATTATTCATAGGAATTTTAAATGTCCATCAGACCAACAATTACTGTGTATATCAAGTCGAAAACATCTGATTAAAATATCTTATGTAAGGAAGAACTTTAAAAAGTGAATCGACTCGTAAATCGATTAATATACCTTGTTTGCGGCATATTCTTCTCAACAAAAAGAAAGAGGGCTTTTTCTGATGAGATATCAATACGTTTTCGAATGATCCACATAAACTGAGCAACTGTAACATCGTCCGGAACAAGAAACTTATGTTTGTCAATATCGGGTATTTGTGAATGACGATGACGTTCCACGACGACCTGTAAAAAAGATTGAATACGAGTTCAAAAATGACAAGTGTTTGCTTTAACTTGCGAAATAATTTTGTACAAAAAAAGTTAAAACTCGTAAGGATCGGTCGTGCACAGACCAAAGTGCGACACTATGGATCATCGTCGAACAATCAGTTGAGTGGGACTCGTCACTGTACATCAACTTCATTGATTATGAAAAGGCATTTGACAGTGTAGATAGGAGGACGTTATGGAAACTTCTTCGACACTACAGAGTTCCTGAGAAGATTGTTAACATTATCCGGAACTTATACGACGGACTACAGTGCAAGTTCGTGCATGGAGGATAGCTGACAGACGCATTCCAAGTAAGGACCGGAGTCAGACAAGGCTGTCTACTCTCTCCCTTCCTCTTTCTTCTGGTGGTCGACTGGATTATAAAGTCCTCGACATTTGAGGAAAAACACGGCATACAATGGACAGCTCAGAACCGATTAGACGGTTTGGACTTCGCAGATGACCTAGCTCTCCTATCGCATACACACGAACAAATGCAGATAAAGACAGCCAGTGTAGCAGCAGTCTCTGCATCAGTAGTTCTCAACATACACAAGGGGAGAACCAAGGTCCCGAAATACAACACGGAGGACGCCAATCCAATCACTCTTGATGGCGAAACTCTGGAAGATGTAGTCCTTCACATACCTGGGAAGCATCATCGATGAACAAGGTGGTTCAGATGCAGACGTAAAATCGGGGATTGGCAAAGCAAGGGCTGCTTTCCTACAATTGAAAAACATATGGAACTCAAAACAATATTCAAGCAATATCAAAGTGAGAATCTTCAATACGAACGTCAAGGCAGTTCTACTGTACGGAGCTGAATCTTGGACAACTACAACAACCAACATCAAGAAAGTACAAGTATTTATAAATAGTTGTCTACGCAAGATACTCAACATCCATTGGCCGGATACCATCAGCAACAGCCTTCTCTGAGAGAGAACAAACCACCTTCCAGCTGAAGAGGAAATTAGGAAAAGACGATGGAAATGGATAAGACATACATTACGCAAATCATCAAACTGCATCACGAAGCAAGCCCCAACCTGGAATCCTGTAGTGAAGCGGAAAAGAGGAGGGCCAAAGAACACATTACGTCGGGAAATCGAAGCAGATATGAAAAGGATGGATTACAACTGGAAGGAGCTGGAAAGGATTGCCCAGGACAGGGTTGGATGGAGAATGGTGGTGAGTGGCATATGCTCCTTCACGAAGAGTAACAGGAGTAAGTAAGTAAAGTTAAAACTCAATACAGCATTGATGTGTACTCCGTAACGCATTCTAAATGAATCCGATAAAAGGCATTCTTTTACGTTAGTGATAAACATATACGTCCTAATGAAGTCAATCGCAGATAGAATCCTAAGCTAAACTTTAAAATGACATGATAAAAAGATGGTTGAAAAAATATGTGATGATGAATAGTGACTTAGCTGAGTAAACCTCGAAAGATGTAAAGTACTAGAGATTTGACCACTTTTAAAACTACATCACTTCAGGTTTATAACATTTGAAAAATAACGGGAAGATACGTGGTCCGGGATGTCAAGCGTATGAACTATGAATCATGGTTAATTGTCACGTCTTACTAGGTCACTTCAGACCTCAACATGATTACATTGTCTGTGCGTTATATAACAAGGTAGAGTGAAATTAGATAGCGACCCTATGACCTCTAAATGCCCTGGCACGGTTGAGGGCGTGGAGAGCCAGCACACCCGAAATTCCCTCACACGGCTACGCGTATACAACCACTTCCAGGGAAGTCCTACTCACTGCCTTCTCGCAGCATTACAGTTGTTTACGAAATCGAGAGGACGACAAGCGAATATCCGGCACTTTAACCGGGTTGGTGGACACCGAGTGTCTACCTAGGGGTGTTAGAAAACCCTGATTCCAAACCAACGGTGTACATAAGCTACAAGATCGTGAAGGAACAAATGGAGTATGAACTTATTATTGGCCAACGGCCACCACGGGACTGCATCTCCTGACGTTGCTCTACTGCCTTGTGGATCGGACCTTTAGGTCGAAGGCTCCGGGCGTGGCTCCCTAAGAAAACCAACTACTTAGGTTTGGGCACCCGGGTAGTATTTCAGCTCCCACACAAGTCGAATGGTGAAGTGTGGCACATAAGTATCTGGTCACTCCTTGAACCGATGTTTACATTTAAATAAATAAACAACACTATAAATATACAGAAATGCGGTGGTTGGGTGTGATAAAGCTAATAGACTTGTGCATCACGTATTTGTAATTTGTTGGTCAAACATATGGACAGAATAAGTGAACCTATTGGAACATATATATATGTATAGACCAAACCACCGAGATCAAATTTTAGAGTACGGCAACAACTCAACAGTGCACAGATGTAGAGATACTACTTAGAAGAGCCAAGATTCGCTGCCTTTATATATGTATATAAACGTTTCAGAAATTATCATACGGATATTAGTGCCATTCGAAGTCAGTGTTTCCCACAAGCTAATAACCATGATTCCATTAGATTTTATGCAGACCGGAAGACGCAACAGGAGCAACATGGAGCACTGTCTACAAAACAAATTGTATCAACCCCAAAGTATTATATTGGGCAGAATGTCCTGTGCACTCAAACAACAACACAGGTCGAATGCAAGGCTAAACTACCTAGTTTTTTTTAAAGAACTCATATTTTTTTGAATAATATCTACGTCCAATCTTGTCCAGTACTGGTGATCCAATCCCTACATCGGATACTCTGGGGTTTAACTCGATGATTTTATCTCGCGATAGCGAAAGCTTTGCAGATGAATCTTTCAGGCCAAAGAACTCACCATTACAGAAAATTTGTGTTGACTTCGCAAGCTACTCAAGTGCATAATTCAACAGAAATACAGAAAATTCTGTTTTAACTAAGCTTTCGACAAATATTATCCATTGTAAATCAGTAACCTAAAAAAAAGTTTTCATTCATCCTTTGATGTGATAGTTGAGGTCTAATAGTTCAGCTGAATGAGACCTTAGTCAAGAGATAGAGGTGATTAGTTGTATTGGCATGCTATAGGTATTAGGTACTTTCAGTTTGCTAAGAATGTTACATGGGACGAATCGGCGAATAGGGATGTCAGAACTGGCTGGACGGTGTGTGGCGTAACCCGGAGACACGAAATACTAGCTATAGGTCAGTGGGAATTAGTTAAACACATATGGTTAACCGCTATTTCTAAAGATCACTGGCGTTGACCAATAGGCATCGTAAAAGTTAAATGTCCCGGATTTTTGACTTCTGACATCAACGTTAAGAGACAATGAATAGTGGGAAACTGGACGTAAGAGTTATTCTATACCCATATACAACTTCAGTCTAAAAGTGAAACTGGAAAATTCAGAAACACGGAGTGAGAGCATGACTAACTTTTCCGTACTTCAGTATTAAAAAAACTGGAGCTTGGAACTATAAAGTGACAGAAAGCCAAGTAAACAAATGTGATGTTAAGGACTGATAAAAGTCTGGGAGAATCATTATTTTTGAAAAATAAAATTTAATCATTCAGAGTTAATATTACTCAATTATTACATTGTGCAGGACTTACCGGAACTCTATTAGGGTACTTGGCCTTTATCTTTGAGGAGTCCTGTTGTCTTTGCTCTGTAAAGAAATAGAAGAATTAAAACCAACAAACCAAAGGTATGGGTCTCTTTGAACTTGAAATTCATGACTTCTTAATGAATTTTGAGTAGCCCGCTACAAATATGGTGGGGAAATTGTTTTTAATTCTAGTGTAGCTCAACGCATTACCACTGAAAACAAACAATAATCTCAACTAGCCATAATAATAAATTTGGTTTCTTGCTCTAAAGTTAGGTGTAAAGAACAGGTCTCAGGTTTTTATAGTACTTCCTGTGGATGGTAAGGCAATTATTATAATTACTTGATAATTGTTGTATTACAGGAGTAGATAAGTAGTTTTCCATGAGTTGAGTTGTATCCGAGACCAGAAACTATCACACCTCGCAATTGTTGTTTGGTTGACTGCATTCAGAGTTGTGAAGTGAGAATTTAAAAATAATTTGTAGCGGGTCAATATTTCTTCTTTTGGTTTTCATTTCAAGATTGTGTTAATCCGACGCTTGTGTCACTGCTGACTGGTGTCTGCTGCTTTCCGTAGTAAACATTAGTGCGTTGTGTGTGCATATAAGGTGGCCAACTCGCCCTTTCTTTTGTTTCTTATTTTTCCTAACTTCCTTCATAGTTTACAGCACGCTACTTTGCATAAATAAAGTACCTTCGGGCTAGAAGCGTACCGCTACGAAGGCGCGGTGGGAAGAAAATAAGAGATTAATAGTTCTCACTCAATTAGCGTTTGCAAATAGGTGACATTATTAATAAGTAATACAAGATACAACAATAGACTAAAAACAAGACACAAGATACGGTTAGACATTGTGGGAATAAGGAGAATGAATTTTAAGAAACCTTCCCATATACAGGTAGTTGGCCGCCATTCTGGACGAAAGTAGGTAATCTGTAATAACCTCTTACGGAAATAATCTATGATGTTTGATGATGGTTGAACCAGCAGCCCTCAAGAGCAAAACGACTCTCAACTCCAGTGACAGTTGATGTTCTACGCAGTATCCAACGAACTTCCGGGCTATTAATGAAAATACTAAAATCTTTGCGCTCAAGGAAGTCAACAGGATGTGGCAGAATTCTATCTGTAATCATATAACAGTGCTCACTTTACTCGACACTAGTGTTAATCAGTGCTCTATTTGTACGTGATAAAATGACTAACCAGTGCACCCTGTTACTTTTAAACAATCATTCACTTGTTTTGATAGTGTAAAGCTGGTTGTGCTCCAGTGCCATAGACTCACACATTCAAATATACTCTTACGAACTTGCACAACATTAGGTGAGTCATTGACAGAGCCGCCTGCCTTGATTTCGCCTGCAAAATTGATTGCAGTGATCGCAACCTTTCCAGGATCAACTGGAAGACACACATTCAGGCACACTGGGTTTAGAAATCATACATGCTCCTTTAGACATACACAGTTGAAAGTAACATATACTCCTACCTACACGAAACCATAACGTTGTCAACTTGATATTCTGTCACAATGTCACACAAGCATCACTGGTGGTTGGCGAAAATTTTTACACTAGCGGTCATAATGTAGTCTTCTGCACTCCACCCTTTCTTGCAAAAGGTTACAAATCCAATACATAAAATACACGTCTTCAATACAGCGAATATGAACACTCTGACTGGAAAAACTTTCGATTTCTAATATTCACTCTGACTGGACTAGTTTTTTTACTGGTTATAAGCCTTCAGATACGCTAGAAATAGTCATTATCGCCGCTAAATCCACACTAGACACTACTGTCCTCTCCAAAATATATTTTGAAACAATAACTCTTTTCACCACACAAACAACTAGGGCTAAGTTATGAAAGCTATAAAGAATGTAAAGTATATCAAAAAGCTTCAGTGTATTGCGATAGATATACCCTAAACTTGACGGAGTGTAAAGTCAGCATAGGAAACCTTAGCAAACAGAGGAAAGTGCTGCGCTCACTACAGCATCGAAATCTCAAAACCTATCTTGTCTCTTTGGAAAGCGCATAAGAAAGAGTGTGGATCATAGGCAGTACAGTGGTGTGACGTATTACTGCCAAACTGTCATATAAAAACTGCTATGTTAATATTTTTGCACAATGGAAATAAATCAAATGCCCCATACATTAACGTAAAGCATATCAGCAAAAATAATCTTAGTACCTTTGACGCTGATTTTAATGATACATACGCCACCATCAAAACACTCAAGCCGAATACATGTCCTAGTGCAGATGGCATCCCATCGATTCCTTAAAAAATAACAGGACCGGACATTAGAATACCAATAATCGAAATATTCATATTATCCTTAAAGGCATAACACAAAACCTAGGAGGTAACGTATATTGTCCCGAAGTGCAAATCAAAATCGAAAAATCTGATCCAGAACTACACTTATATCACGCATAATGAAAATGTGATACAAGATTAATTCTCTGATCACCTACTTAGGGAAGGTCTATTCGACCCGTCGCATCACGGCTTCATTGGAACAGGGTCCTGCAGAACATGCCTGATAGTCTTCTTTAACGAAGTCACTCGCATACAAGACCAAAAGAACCTAATGATAATACTATATTTCGATATCAAGGAAGCTTTTGATAAGGCACCTCACAAATTCTCATCATCAAAATTCAGTCAGTTGCAATCACTAACCCTCTATTGCAGTGGAATAAGTCTTTACTCACAAACAGATGCCAAGGAACTAAAATTAAATCTACAACATCTGCACCTTGACCAAATAACCAATGGTGTCGCGCTGGATGTTTTTTGTCTCTTTTGCTTTTTACACTCCAAATCAACAATATATGCTGGTGTTTCAACACATATAAGACCTACCTTTGAGCTGATGACTTAAAAGTCATTTATAAAACTAGCATTTGCGATGTACGTAGTACTATGCAAACAATCTAGCCTGAACTCGACAGGACAGGTAACTGAAGTAAACGTCGCAGCTTAGAACTCCACGCAAAGAAATACTGCTGGCTACGTATTGGAGATGTCTGTTAAAATAAGACTAACACTCGACTATAATCTACTACCCAAACTCAAATCATCAACAGGCAATAGGGTGCATTACTTTCTGAACTTCTCTGAACATATGTCTGCTAAAGTATCTGAATCGCGGAAATTCCCTGGCTTCATTCTTCGTAACTTCATTCAAAATGAATAAGACTATCTGAAGTACTCCATTCTGCTTTACTAAAGGAAGCGGCTTCAATCTTAGCAACCACTTACTGTGATGTTCTCACATTCGCCGAACTGAGGCATGATCCTGAAAAAGTGCAAGCTGGCGTACATTACACAGCGATTTTTCAAGCCTTCTCTCTATACCCTCAAAAAATATGAATTCCACGATGTGCGGCGGTTTACACGACTACTTAATATCCATAAGTTATTTTTCACCCAAACGGTTTCGTTTGGGGAATCGTCACTCTTATATAACCAACTCCTTGACCGCCGTAGACAGATGGACACTTATCCTTGATCATAAGGAGAAGGTTGACGTCAAATAAAATGACTAACCAAAAACCTTTGGTAGGGTCAATCATATACGTATTATAAATCAGCTCAAACGGCGAAGTGTCAAGCCACCGTTAATTGATTGGTTCATTTCATATCTAAGTAATCGAACTTTTAAGGTCAAGGTTAACTTCATTTTTCCCCAAACAAATGTATTGCATTATACACTTCCTAATGCCCAAACTTTGATTGGCAACCCACACTTTATACTATAGCTATTTAAAGCATTCTATCCATGTCTTACACACAGTCTATGATTTGTAACTGCCTGATAAGCTTGTAAAATGGTACTTATAGAAATAGTGATTCCCAAAAGTGCGTGATACACAGAGCATCGTGTGAGGTATAATATTTATCCGAAAAAGCCTAAATGGGCCTAAAATCACAAAAAGAGGAAGGGTGGAGTTACTGACCAGCAAACAATCCACTCGAGTTTGTTGGGCCCATTATGCTTGGGGACGAGACTATCAATTAGTGGTACTGGGTTCGTTCTCTTACGCTCAATACTCAGACTCATGCTTCCAATCATATGCTGGATTAGCTATTTTATTAAAACAACCTATAACATGCTGTTGCGGTAAATAAATCCTCAAAATAAATAGCTCTGCAAGTTTTCGACATTGGATGCTGACCAGATTAGTTTTAGTGGACTCACCTAGCTGAAGGCGCTCGGTCATGCATTCGCACCAGATTACGTGTGGGAACGCCGTGCTCAACATCTACTGCAACCGCTAGCCAGACTAGATCAGACAATTCCGATATATTGGCAATCGTCAAATACAACTTCTGATCTCCTCGATTCTGTCTTTTGATTTCTCTTGGTGAGTACGAGTTGTATTAGAAGGTGCCGGCTTCGAAGTTTCCCGGGTTGTTTTTCGAGTCAGTCGGTTTTGAGTTGGGAAAATTGCAGTGTTGTCTGCAATTTCTGGAAGACGTGGCCAGCCAGAAGTCTAAAGCCAACGAGTTTTGTCGTTGGTAAACACTCTTTTGATAGCTTGCTAGGTTTAGCATCGTCTGGTCGTCTTTCCTTACTATATAGGACCATGAAGTATAGTATAGTAAAAAAAGAAAAAGTACAATGAAAATTTCGGCTCCTCGTAATTTTCAACGTTCTTTTCCAGCCGTCCTTCAAAAGAAAGAAGAAAATATAAGTGCATGTCGAAATACACACATACGCGCGTAAAAACACAATGCCGACGAAAAAAAGTGGAAAATAAACTCATATAGACGTAATACCGTTAAAAAAGGATCTATATAATGTTTTTTTTGTTTTTATTCTAAAATAAACATATAAATATATAAGCATATTAAAATTGTTTTTTTTAGAAAAACCATTACATATGGTAAAAAGAAAAATCGAGATAATATAAAATGTCGAGGAGTGCCTTACTTGCAATAATCGTTTAGACGTTCTGGAAATCTTACTCTTCTTCCAGAACGCGTCGTCTTGAGTTTATTTTCTGATACTATTGAAGTATCATCGTGTGTGTTGCCTGTCGGTTGGGGTATTATAAGCGTAGGAGTCGTGTTGTGCGATTGTAAGCGAAATCGACGTGAATAGGATTTCCTTCTAAATACACTACTTTGAGGCGATCGATGCTGATGCTATAGTTGGTTCCGTTCTGATCGACTATTTAGTACTTAGATTCACGATGAAGGACTTTGAAAGGTCTTTCGTATGCTAATTCGAAAGGTCGTCGATGTGAGTCTCAACGAACGAAAACGTGTGTACTACATCGTAAGTCAGGATGAACGAAAACATCAGTTGATTGAGGTCGAGTGGAAACAGGTTTAACTGAACGCATTGAGTTTGTAAGCCTGTTCGTGTAGGAGTTTAGATCCATGTTCATTGAAGAGGATGAAGGATCCACGAATTCTCCTGGAAGTCCATAAACCAGTTGAGCCGCAGAGTATCCAGTGTCAGCTTTCACTGCATTGCGAATGCCTAGTAAGACGAGAGGTAGAGCATCGGTCCACTGTGAAACGTTTGCAGCTGATAGTGAAGCTTTTAGTTGTCGGTGAAAGAGTTCTACCAACCCGTTTGCTTGTGGATGGTAGGCGGTCGTTCGGAAGCGAGTGATTCCTAAAAGCGTGGTCAGACGACGGAAAAGATCGGATTCAAACTGACGTCCGCGGTCTGTAGTAATGGTTGAAGGGCAACCGAAGTTTGCTACCCATCGTTCGACGAAGGTGCGGGCCACTGTTTCAGCAGTGATGTCCTTGATAGGTACTGCTTCTGGCCATCGAGTGAAACGGTCTACGCAGGTTAAGAGATAAGAGTATCCATTTGAATCTGGTAAAGGTCCTACCAAATCCAGATGAACATGTTCGAAACGGACATCGGCAGTTTTAAATGAGCATAAGGGACATTTATTGTGTCTGATAACCTTAGATTTTTGGCAGCTTGCACAGGAGCGTGCCCACTCCCTCACGTCTTTATTAATGCCAGACCAGAAAAACCGTTCTGCTATAAGCTTGATGGTTGCACGAACATCTGGATGAGGACGTTTGTGCAACGTATCGAATACGTTGCGTTGATAACGTTTCGGCACGATTGGTCTATCCCTACCTGTAGATGTGTCACAAAGTAAGGTTTCCTTACCTGTTCCCATCTCTTTGTTGCATAGATTGAGAGTTGTAGACGATAACTCGTGCTGAAGATCAGTGTCTTCTTTTTGAAGCTCGGCGAGTTTAAGAAGGTCGATCCCTTGGAAACTGTTCAAGGAAGTTATGCGAGACAAAGCGTTTGCAACTACATCGTTTGCTCCAGAAATGTGTTGAATGTCTGAAGTAAACTGCGAAATGTAGTCCAGTCGTCGAAACTCATGAGGTGAGTACTTGTCAGAGGAAGAGCTTAGAGAGAAGGTGAGCGGTTTATGGTCCGTGAAAAGGGTAAATTCACGGCCTTCGATATGGTGTTGAAAGTGTCGTACAGCACAATACACAGCTAGGAGTTCTCTACCGAATGTGCTGTATCTCGATTCAGTGTTTAGCAACCTTCTAGAGAAAAATGCCAAAAGTTGCCAGGAGTTGTTAACCCATTGTTGTAAGACTCCTCCGACTGCTGAGTTGGATGCGTCTACTGCGATACTAATGGGTGCTTGAGTGTCCTGATGTGCGAGCATTGTTGCTTTAGCGATAAGTTCCTTAACTGTGAAGAATTATTTTCGTGCGGTGTCGTCCAAATTAATGGATTTCGCATTTCCCCGAAGTTGGTCGGTTAGAGGTTTCATGAGTAAAACGCATTTAGGTACGAATCGTCTATAGAAACTTACAAGGCCGTTAAACGTTCGTAGTTGCTTGATCGCGGTCGGTTCTGGGTAATCCAGAATTGCCGCCACTTTGGTTCTAAGGGGTCGAATGCCTTGAGCATCTATAGTGTGTCCTAGGAAGTTTAATGAGTCGGTTCCGAATTGACATTTCTGAACGTTTACAGTAATGCCATGTTTTTGTAGATGTTCGAAAACAAGATCCAGATGCTTGAGATGTGTTTCTCTGTCCGAACTTGAGATTAGGCAGTCGTCAACATACGCATGTACGAAGTTTAGACCTCGAAAAACGTCGTCTATGAACCTTTGGAATGTTTGGGCAGCGTTTCTTAGAGCGAAGGGCATTCGCGAAAATTCAGAGTCCAAAGGGAGTAATGATAGCTGTTTTTGGCATATAGTCTGTAGCCATGGGGATTTGGTTATACGCTTTAATCAAGTCGATTTTCGAAATGACAGTTGTACCTTTCAAGGTAGCTGTCAAATCGTGAGTGTGAGGCAACGGGTAACGATCGGGAATGGTTTTCGCGTTCAATCGCCGATAGTCACCAGTTGGACGCCAATCGTTGCTGTCCTTTTTAGGGACATGTGCAACGGAGATGCATATGGGCTACTTGACGGTCGTATGATTCCTAAGTCTATCATATGGTCGAACTCGTTTTCCGCCAACCTTAGCTTTTCGGGAGCTAGTCATCGTGCTTCAGAGAATACAGGTGGTCCTGTAGTCGTGATGTGATGTGTAATGTTGCTGGTTACACACGGTAGTTTTGGTAGCGTTTTATGTATCCTAGGATACTTATCGAGTAGTGGTTGATAAAGTGAGTTTATCGTATGCTTAATTGTGACTAGAGATAATCTGCAACCAGGAAAGGAAGTTACGCAAACGGATAAATTAGTGTCTCCGTCTACTAGCCTCCGTTTGCGCGTATCGATGATTAGATTATGGTGTTGTAGAAGGTCTATAACGGTTTTGAGTTGGGAAAATTGCAGTGTTGTCTGCGAACTCTCGTCGTCACAACTGTGACGTACAACAGACGGCTATGTTCGTCGGCTACAGTTACCGTTCACGCGTGCCTGCTCGGAAGTTTCTTGAGTTGTTTTCCGTGTCGATGGAATTAGAGTTGAGAAAATTGCAGTGTTTTCTGGGATTTCTGGAAGACTTTCCATACTGGGTATGATACCAGCACCAGTCGGGTTATCCGTCTCTCGTGGTCTAGAGACAGATCCCTTACGTGAAGTGCTTCTACGTGGGGTGTGTGATCGCTTACGGTCGTTACGAAAATGAAGATAACGTGTAAGTGTATGACATAACTCGGTTATGTCATGCTGGGTCGTTTGAGGCCTTTCTTTGACTGAAAAAACCTCGGTAGTAGATTTCGTGATTTCTAAAATGCGGTCAGCAGATGCAGCTAGCTCGTCTAAGGCATTGTTGTGTAACGAGACAAGCACAGCTTGCATCTGTTGAGGAAGTTTCGACAAGAAATGTTGTTTAAATAGGCTATCATCGAAAGTTCGTTGACCGACAACCTCTTTCATCCGTTGCAACATGTCAGTCGCAGAACCGTCTGCAGTTCGATGTAATAACGGAGTTGGTTTAACCTTTGTCTATCGGTTAGGTCTCCGCGTTTAAGAATAGAACGTTTCAGCGTTTCGTAAGGTTCAGAAACATCACTAGTAAACATACTAAGTGTTACGTACCTGTTGAATTCGCGCGGTAGTGCCTTGACTACTGCGAGGAATCGTGCATGTGTGCCGATCACGCCGTACTCAGAAAAGTCGGCTTCTGCGTAGCAGAACCAGGCTTCGATGTTGTCTGGCCAGAAGGGCATCACTTGGAACGAAGGTGGGGACAAAATCTAAAACTTAAGTACTTTGGATGTCTGTTCAGTCTTGATGAAGTATGAAGTACGATAATGAACGAGGGGAAAAATATATATCCCAAAACGCGGGGAAAAAATATCACAATGTATAAAAAATTAGGATAAGGGAATGACATATACTATCTCAAATAGGAACAGACTCGCAGTTTACGATTTGTTGTACCAGATCACGTCGGGCTCACTAGTGGTGATGACACAGGTATTCAGTATTTGACAACGCTTTTACCAGTGACACCTAATATAACTCGTACTCACCAAGAGAAATCAAAAGACAGAATCGAGGAGATCAGAAGTTGTATTTGACGATTGCCAATATATCGGAATTGTCTGATCTAGTCTGGCTAGCGGTTGCAGTAGATGTTGAGCACGGCGTTCCCACACGTAATCTGGTGCGAATGCATGACCGAGCGCCTTCAGCTAGGTGAGTCCACTAAAACTAATCTGGTCAGCATCCAATGTCAAAAACTTGCAGAGCTATTTATTTTGAGGATTTATTTACCGCTACAGGATTACCAATTAATCAAACCAGTCGGTTAATACAAACTAGTGAGAAAGATATTGTATAGTGGATAGCTCACATTTCACTAGCGCAAAGTCTAAGTATTCTTAAATTCAAGGACGCAGGTGACTGACACGCTCGAAACTAGGAGAGAATATTGTCTTAATCTCACTTTCGTGTTATTAGTGATTGTTATCATTTGCCTTCGTTTTTAATGTAAATCAATTTTATGTGCTTAATGAGTCTTCGGCTCTTTTTTTCCTCTTGTTCTCCTCCAGATAATCTAACTGCTCCTAACATTCCGCCAACACACAAGGTATCTTCAGGCTAGACGCAAACCTACCAAAAATTGGACGTTACAACTGTATCTCGCGTGAGGATTTCTTAAGTCTAAAAACCACTAGGCAACGTGGATTTACTAGATGGCTTTGTGAAATGAGTGTCACACGGCATTTTCATATGGATATTATATCTTTTTCTGATTTGTAATGATCAACGGAACTCCGAAAATACTGGCTACTACTCATAAATGTGTATTCAGAAGTACTTCATTCCCCCAACTCTTAGCCAGTAAGTCAGTATGCGGAGTGTTTTCCAGTACATTTCATAATGTAAATGGCAGGCAAAAACTCCTTTACAAACCTGTTGATTTACTTCATTTTCACCCAACTGGAGCTTTAACTCTGAGATTGCAACACTCTCATGGTCCTTCAGATAATTTATCAAATCCAGCTTTGGAACAAAAAGCAGTAAGTTAAATCATGAAATTCCCACCAATTTAGTGTTTCTTTCTTGTGTAGTCGAATGAGTAGTCGGAAAATTTATATGACTGTTTCATCATACTTAAAAAAACTTCGTTAGCATAACTTTTATGAACAATGGCTATATTTATGAGATTGCTATGGGATTAACACGTCATAAGTATTTTTAGTCTACTTTCATGAAATATCCTTGTTTAATTCTATTTTGGCGTCAGTTTGTTTCATTGGTATTTGAAAGCTTAGTCATGCTTGTGTAAATCGTTCAAAACTATGGAAGCACAGTAACAAATTGTAGATTATAATATCTGGTCGCGTTCATAATTATGTACTGTACCCATTGTATGGAAAGCAAACCATTTGACCTAACTAGTGAGTAAGTTTTCAGTTCTCATCTACTCCATTGAATTTGTAAGCAACCAAATATTGTTTCCTCTCTTAATGCGATGACTCTCTGTACCAATAGGTGTGTCTGTGTCTTAACGATGAACATATCTTCCAATAGAAAAGGTTGGTAGCTCGAAACACTTGGATTTTAGCGGCTCGGTCTCATATCGAAACCCGGATTAACATAATTTAATTTTGTCAGCTGTTTATTCTGGAACAGTGCAAGCTTATTAACTGTCAACCAAAAAGTTTCGAGTTCGGTGAGTAATAATTTCAAGAGATATACCTCACAAAAATCTCAATAGAGATTCACTGTTTTTATGTTCAGTCAGACGTTATACTTATCCACTACCCATTCATCCATTGTCTCCGTTTTCACTAATATCTTTTTCCTTTTGTGATATTGTGTGGTGTAAACCAGAACATTGTCATGTAAGCTTCTAGGCTATCTCATATTTTGAGATTTTGGGTCCAGAACATTGTTTTGTGTTAAAAGACATCCTAAGGTTAAATATACTACACTACTTTACATTTCAATCAACCTATTTGACGAAATATCAACCGTTACATTGATTAAAATACGGGCTAGCTATCAGTCACTACGTAAGTTCTGTTTATTTCTATCGTTTTTTCTGAAGTGAGACTAATCAATTTTCAGCTTTTTGTTCTTGCAATTAAATCCGATTAATTTGTTTGCGTTCTAATTTCATTTAGATTTTATCTGACTGGACTATTATTAGACGACTTCTAAAATATGTTTGGCCACAGGATAGGCCGGAAATCCGTTTGCGTGTAGTCGCGGCTATGTTGTTGTTATTATCTTCCAAATTTGTTAATGTTTTGGTCCCATTCGTTTTCAAAATTGCAGTTGACTGTTTGTCAGGAGAAACTCCACTACTATTAGGTGATACAAGTCCTAGTGTGGCAGCTACAACTATTTTAATTTCGTGTAAGAAATTTATTTCGTGTTTATTGGTAAGACTATGAATTTCAAACGGTATACTTAACCAACATATCTTTTGTAAGGAACAGAAAGTGAATGTATGTATATATGTATATATATGTATATATGTATACTCAATAATTGGCATGTCCAATAACAAATACGCTTGATTTGAATGAAAGAGTCACCACCTTCCCAAATTTTTTATGCATATTTTCTGAAGACTGCAAAATTATTGTCATTAACATAGCCTTGTATTCTACAAGAAACTAGTACATTATTTATTAACAATAATTTTTGTCAATACAAGTTTAGCATTAAATGAATTCTCATAGTATTATTCTAACTCAAGTTGCTTAAATGCTATGTTCATGCTTTCACGATAATAATATTCAGACAGTTTCTGCTTTAATTGATTTTACTGCCATCCTTATCAATGTGCTTGTTTTAGAAAGCTGCACTCATTTGTTCAGCCATAGCTACTATGTATCAAGCATAAACTCATTATAATTCAGAACAATATGCTGGAGACAATAAGTAAAAGTACTTTGGCGATTTCTTACTATTTAATTAGCAGGTTTTGATACAGTTTCGTTGTCAATAATCTAGATATTGAAAATCTTATTATCTTTCCTCCCCACTTTTGGTATTATTTGTCTCGCTTTATGTTATGTTAACTACTTTACAAAATTAACGCAATCGTATAAGTAAATAAGCAATCAAGTGTGTGTAAAATGTGCAATTATATGTCCAGAATTGATTATTCGAGTGAAAACGAAGTGACCAATATGCCTAGAGTTGCGCGCTTGGTTATCATTTAATTTGCTGGTCTTATATACAGTCTAAATGGGTGAATGAGATTGCTTGAACTCTTTTATTCATTTTTTCATGTTGTAATGATCCGGACGGTATTCATAATCGATACAGAGCCTGGGATAAATGTCGGTTTGGACAAGTTGTTTTACCACGAGAGCAGGACAAGATGTAGTTACATACAACTATGTATAGTCAGTTTGTAATGTGACTACCTCCTTGTTAAGTGCAATGAGATTAAGGGTATGTTTATAAAATGTAGTTGTAGACAGTATTTACTTTCGTGAATACTATAAGTAAGCCCAGACATTAACGATCTATAGGAAACGTAACACAGCACAAATCTCTATCGACCCAGAATTGGCATTGATGTCATTGATAATGGAACGAATACTAGGAATAAGAAATACAGTTTAAAAACAAGGAACGAATTCGCGAAATAAGGAATATCAGTTCATATTAAAGATAAGATTCTAATGATAGACAGAGAATGGATGTATCTGTTTCATTGTGCCCTATCACCCTTAATAGATTGTAATTACCTAGATCTATTCACTTCTTTTATTTACAAAATAATTTACTGAAAATGCTTTGATCCGAAATCAACTTGTAGTTACGAATCCCATCACTTGTTTGCCTCTTTCTTTCATAAGTTTGTCTGGTAGCTTCATGTCTTGTGTGAATTTCTTGTAATACTGAAAATAAGGACAACTTAAAGTGATGCATATCTCCGAATTAAAAGCACTTGTGGTGACGTAGTTCTTATTTATTCAATATGACTAGTGTGTCTTATTACTCTTCAACGTTTTATATAACACCGGCTGATCAGTTCACTTAAATTCACTTACGGTAAATAATTGTAACGACGGCTTTATGGTAAAGAGGCGTGCCAGATTTTCAACTATGGAAGCACAGATTGGAATGCCACTTCACTCGTGTCGGTTTAACTTCTCGTTATGGTGTTACTACCTGTCTAGTAAAAAGTCTTATTCAGAACTTAGTGCAAAATACTTGTAGTTACATCGAGTACATAAAGATAGTTTGTCCCAAATTCTAAATTCATTACTATTTACGACCGTTTCTAGTTCGTCCTTTTTATTCCTATTTATAATCCTTTCAACCTATCTTCTGTTTTTTTATTCACAGATGGTTTGTTCAGAGCTACTGCTTCTGGTTTAAATGAATTACGTACTGCAGTTTTTGCTAAAGCTGCTCTTTCTTCAATTCGAGAAGTCGGAGTTCAAGTATTTCGACATATGCACAATCTTGATTTAAGTTATCATCTTGGAAGAAGAACTGGAGCATTAGGTAAAGCAATTGATCGTGGCGCTAGGGGAATAAATTTTATATTGACTGCTATGGTTTTCAATCTATTTCCTACTACATTTGAAGTTGCTGTTGTAACAGGGATTTTGGTAAGATTGTATCTTATTTCTCGTTTTTACTTAAAAGTAAATGTTTTCTGTGCTTTTATTATAGAAAAGTTTGTACTTCTTAATAAATTATCAACAAAATAATGTTTTTGCCGAAATGTTTGCTGTTTACTCTTAGTGGTTTCTGTGAAATCAAGAGTAAACTAATTAATGTTTATTACATTCATGAATTAAAGCTCATCTTTGGAATTGTGAATTCTGTGCAAGTTTTCTTAACTGATTCTCAAGGTTATATTACGTAATGTTATAAATGATTGTTTTGCAACCAGTTTAACTGTAATCACTTTTTCAGTATTCAAAAGACAGTTATCGTTATGACTTTATGTCCGGCTTTTATCATGTGATTTATCCACCAATCAAAATACGACTTATACAATCTTAGCACTATACCAAACCAGTGACGTTCGACCGGTATGAGCAGCCTAGCGTCCTTATTGGTCCTATGTCCGCCTAGCCCGTCCACTTGAGTCCAGAACACAATACCAGCTTCTGCAATATGAATCGAATTGTTTATTTCAGACATACTCGGTTTATATATCAACCAGACAGACCATAACGTACCATAAGCGTGGGAGGCAGTAGTCAATAAAATGAACATAGCTTAAGAACCGTAAATCGTACAGTAATAAATTATAGGTCAAGATAAAGCTTATAATAAGAGGAATATAAATATACATAATCCAATTATTGAATAGTTATACAATAAGAATATTTATAGAATATTAGTCCATTAATAGTCCTCGGAAGTTACCCGTAATTTAATCTTCACTGGGATATAACAGTCATGTAGTATTTGTTTTACTGAAACAAATTTCTAGTTAACTTATCATATGTCAAGCATAATGAAATTCATTTTATTTTATTTTATTTGAACACATATATATTGGTACAGGAGTGCGCCAAATATATATGCGCCACGCAATTTCAGTTCATTAATTGCGTGTGGGCTGCGATACCGCCCGGGTGCCCAGACCGAAGCAGGTGGTTATCTTAGGGGGCCACACCCCGAGCCTTTGACCTAAAGGTCTAACGCACAAGGCAGTGGAGCATCGTAAGGAGATGCAGTTCCATGGTAGCCGGTGACCGAAAATTGGTTCATACGCTATTTGTTCCCGCAGGATACTGGTGCCCATGTGCACCATAGATTTGGAATCCGGTTAAAGCGCCGGACATTCGCTTTTCGTCCTCTCATTTTCGTAAACAACACCCCCGCCACGAGAAGGCAGTGAGTAGGACTTCCCTGGCAGAGGCTGTATACGCGCGGCCGTGTGAGAGTATTTCGAGAGGAAGGGCGAACACACCCCGCTCTCGGCCATACCAGGGCATTTGGGGGCAAATTCATACTGTAGATAAATTTCACCGTTAAAAATTTCCCATCATTGGCTTCATATCTTGTAAAATATTTCGATGTTGTATATGCTAAATACTTTCGATTAATTTTGATATTTTTATTGCATTAAATGGTTAGTTATGCAACCTTTGACTGCGAAAAATTTTATTTTCAGTTTTATCGATAAACAAAACTAATTATTAATTGACTTTTGACAACTATATAGTTTAGTGTTTGACGTTTTGTGCATTGTACAATATTAACATTTAAGCTCACATTATTTATTTGTAAATTATTGAAGCTTATACCATTTTTAAGTGTGTAGCGATGACTCGATATTTGAAGCATTCAAATCTCAGTCACTAAGTCACAGGTTTTAATCTTACTCCACTTACGTCGATTCCAACAATCACGTGGTATAATCAGCCCACACACAATTAGAATATAGCTGATATTGTAAAGGGATAGGGAAAGGAACGTGAGTATAATAAACTTTAAGAAACAATAGGTAAATGAAAATGAGTGAATGGGTAAAAACGAATAGTAGTAGTTCAGTTAAGAAAAATACAACCAGAAAGAATCTTTTCAGTTAAAATTCACTTATATGAAGAAAGTGAAAGAAACTTACAGCAGCACCGTCACTGGCTTTGATTCTGAGCCCATGTCTGATAATGTTTCGAGTCACTGTGTTGCGCTATCTCTAGGACCTTAACTAGGCAGTCGTGAAGGAATGACAGATGCCAGTCCTGTACAGCTTTCTTCCATACAACAGTACAGTATTATAAACTGACCACCTCTGCTTTTTACAACCCGTCCCAGCGTCGGCAAATAATGCACAATGTGGGGTTTGCTGGGATAACATTTGTAAGACATGTCCAAGGCACCGACGCCGGCGTTTCAAGATAGTGACACCAATCGAATTATCGTAGCTGTGCCCGAACATACGATGCCGCACCTCTACATTACTAACATGGTGTTGTTATTGGATGTCATCGATCCTTCGGAGACATTCGCACAACATCCCCAACTCGGAGAGGTTACGTTTCACATGTACAGAGAAGGACTACGCTCACTAATGCATGTAAATCAACTCGTTAATACACTCCGACCATTAGGTTTCTTAGTCTTCATACAAACCTTCCAAGCAATCAGTTTTTTGTTACACCACGACAAACAATCGTTACTGGTTAAGGTTACACAATAATTGTGACGTATAGCTGGGGATTTTCGGTGAGGTTCATTTAGAGAGTGAGTTCAATATCATCGCCCTCATTTTTCATTCTGTGACATTATTCGTTCCTTTTGAACCACAATTTTTTCTTTAGCTTTTCATTGGAGTTGATTTGATTATCCTACCTCCACTTAATTTTCCCTCTCACTGTGAATATATATATATGTAACAACTATTGTATAGCCTTAACCAGTAACTCGCAACCTCTCCCAATAGTTCAAATCAACAGTTAATAGATCCATGAACTGATACTATGTCGCCCCCAGTTTTTTTCTAACCTGCACTTAGCAAGCATTTTACATTAGGTTAAGCGGTGACTACGGATGCGTAATGGTGTGGTCTTAGCCACCGACAAAAGTAATGGAGAATGAAAAGATTCAAAAGTTATCAGTATTATAAGAGAAAAGTCAGGAGAGGATTTTTTAACCGACAGGAAAGAGGAAATAAGGCTAACAATCAAATATAAAATTGTTAAAAGTTGGATTACCAAGTGTATCATTAATTTATACATTAATACATATCATTCAACACTAGACAGTATGGTACCGCTAACTACTGTTTAGTAGTTACCTGTTAACTAGCTGTGTATAAATAGATGTTTGAAAATTTTATAATGTATTTGGGTATAAAGTGTGTCTTTTAATTCATAGTCTTCTTCACGTTTTAAATTTTCGTCTTTCTATCTTATATAAAGGTAAATATCTTCAGTACTTTTTATTTATTCTGATATACAAAGGGATGAGATGTGAGTCTCCACAAATTATATCTGAGTATTGCATCCTAATTCCTGCTTTTTATGTTGTTTTCTTGTTTAGTATTATAAATATGGAGTAGCGGCCAGTACAATTGCACTAAGCTGCATAGCTGCTTATACAGCATTCACATTTGCTGTTACACGTTGGCGTACTCAATTTCGTGTTCAAATGAATAAGGCAGATGGACGAGCTGCAAGTCAAGCTACTGACTCACTTATTAATTATGAAACTGTAAAAGTAAGAGTAACAATGTATTATTTCTTTTAAATACATAATAGATGGACATCAATTATGGTCGGAAGTCGGTCTCTATAAGGTTATTTAATACAATCACTAATTTGTTGAGTCTGCTAATAATGACTTCGCTTACGTTAATCATCCCAGTGCTACTAATATGCTAACCCTGACTGGCCCACGAAACTTGTTTCTGCCCCTAGCCTTTCTAATCAAAACAGGAACAAATCCAGCCAGTTTACTATGTTTATTTTTAACTTAAACTCACATAATAATATACATGAATCACAATACTGAAACGCACCATAAATATAAGAGCACAATCTACGGATAGCTAGGTCATTTGTAGTACAAAACTGAATAACACGTACATTAATTAACTGTAGTTTATGAATGATAAAAGATATACCGACAGTTGAATAAAAGCCTACAAGTATGGAAATACGGAAGCACCAAAAGCCTAAATATACTTAAATAAAAGTCTTCAAAGTTTCACTTTTTCGCTTATTCACCTATGTCTAATAATTTACTGTCACTTATATTTCGTTATTATTTTCTATTTCTACTGATTAAGCAAACAGTACACTCTGGTCTACAAGTTAAATCTAACTCAGTTTAACTTGGGGTGGTGAAAAACATGTTTCGAGTGCAAACGAGCTGTGACACTCACTCACGCATTTGTGGTAACATTCATAGTCACCTTGTTCACAATCACAAGTTAAATTACCTTACTTTACACAGATCCGTATTTAATATAAAGTGCAGTAGCTTTTGGATCAGTCGTACATTTTTTTTATTGCACCTTGAAAATTAGAACAGATATGAAAGTTACTAATGCGATGAGTTGGTGATTATTTACTCCAGTGAGAAACACTAGAGCTTTGATAAGCCCCTTTTACAATTTTCGTTCTATTTTTTGTAACCCTGCTATGGTTGATTAACAACCTATTATCTTCTCGTTACTTTTGAGAATTGCTTTCATAATTATTTTTTAGTACTTCAACAACGAAGAGCGTGAAGCAGAACTTTATGACAAACTTCAAGCTCAATACGAAGAGGCCAGTATTAGAACAACAACTAGTCTAGCTGTACTTAACTTCGGTCAGGCTGCTATATTCTCTGTTGGCTTAGCTGCTACAATGATAGCAGTTGCAAATCAAGTTACTTCCGGTATAACCGATCCAGCAACAGCTGCTCATGTTCTTGAAGCCACTGGGATAAGTAGTTTAGCTAAATCTTTAACTGTGGGAGATCTTGTTCTTGTAAACGGATTATTATTCCAACTATCGATACCATTGAATTTTTTGGGTACGGTATATCGTGAAGTACGGCAATCTTTAATTGATATGTCAACTATGTTTACACTATTAGAACTTGCTCCAACAGTTCGTGTAAGTTAGTGTATGTACTCTTTAAAAAGTAATTTGGTTAAAATTTCGATCATAATTTTCGTAATTTTCGACTTGGTATTGTTTCGTGATGAATGTCATCTTAAAAATACATACGGCTCTGTTTAGCTTTCTTGACCTACTAGTATTCATATTCTCAATAGGAAGTAACCTCTCAATGTGGAATTTTCAGAGTTCTGATGAGAACAAGTGATATGTGAGAGTGAAATATTTTTAGCTAACTGTGATACTACTAGGTAAGGATAATGCTATTTGACTGAAGTTAAAAAACATCGGTCATTGGATAACAATTTAATAATACTTCATTGATATCATACTCTCCACAAGATCTACAAATTATTATTTCAATCACATGCACAGTCCAGAGTCATGCATTACAGAGAAGTTCTGAAGCCCATGGACCAAACAGCTTTTCAATTTTCCTTGGTCTTCAATGTAGGTATCATTGCCGAGGTTTGATTTGATAAGTTCGAATAAATTGAACATTGGGTAGATTGTTAGAAATAAATAATATATTTGTAATATCCCAATGAGCAGAAAAATTATGTTTTCTGACGTTTCGTGACTTAGTGTAAGCCACTTCAGAGAATAAATAACCAAATTTGATTATTTATTCTCTAGATTTTCAATGGTTCTTGACCTGATTTCGTTTCGTAGCGAAAATTACTTTCGGAACGGAAAAAAATCTTTGCGAAGCTGTCTCACATCATTATATGGTAATTTATATCCTAATAAGCTAGGGTTGTCTACGTTTTCAATGTTCACTAAATGTGTTGTGCCCAGTGACTGCGGTTATTTTTCTGTCTGTTTAGTGGATACATACTGCATATTTGAATGTAAATTTTATCAAGGATTTCATTCCCGTCGTCCGAAGCTACTCACAATTGTCTACCATGAGCATGTTAGCGTAGTGCAGCTTAACTTTTCATATGAAAAACACAAATGCAGTAAAAGTTAGATCTCGGATTGGAAGCTCTAATGAAAATAACACTATAGAACACCCACTTACTACACTAATGGAAAAAATGGTCGAAAGTGCTGGGTACAACACACATACTGAACACTGGGAATGCTACTAACTACTTCAATTTTTCTTAATTATCATTTTATAAAGCGAATCTGAATATGTGTCAAACTTTAAAATATCAATGATGTACGTGATGTATCAGTCAGCTAGTAATATTGTGACTAGATATCACACAATTCAACATTATTAAAACTGTCATCTGCATTAACTATATGTACAAGATTAACTCAGACACAACATGGTCAATAATTTTAAAAATAACTGTGGTAATATAATTTGGAACAAGGTAATATAGTCACTTTCTTGAACATAAGGGTACTTTTTACCAATATCGAATGTGATAAAATTTTGTTCCGGTTCTGTTTTGTTTTTGAACCTTGCATAATTATGGGAGAAACTGCTGTAGTAAACCTCTACGCATTTATTTATTTATTTATTTAAACACATAAAGATTGGTACAAGGAGGCACCAAATAGATATGAGGCACATAAATCCTTCGCTTTGTGTGAGGGCTGGAGTACTGCCCGAGTGCCCAAACCGAAACAGGTGGTTTTCTTAGGGGATCACACCCTGAGCCTTCAACCTAAAGGTCTAATCCACAAGGCAGTGGAGCAACGTCAGGAGATGCAGTCTTATAGTAGTCGTTGGCCAACAATAGATTCATAAGCCATTTGTTCCTTCAGGATCCTGGAGCCCATGTACACCACTGGTTTGGAATCAGGGTTTCCCAACTCCCCTAGGTGGACCCTCTGTGTCCACTAACCTGGTTAAAGTGCCGAACATTCGCTTTTCGTCCTGTTAATTTCGTAAACAACAGTAATGCCGCGAGAAGGCAGTGAGTCAGACTTCCCTGGCGGTTGTTGTATGCACGTGGCCATATGAGAGCATTTCGGGAGGGAAAGCTGACTCATCCCACTCTCCGCATTCGGGGACATGAATTTCCTTAGAAATATGTTCAACATACTTATTTCTACATTGAGAGTCACAAGTAAGAAATAATATTTCGGTAGATCTGTGTCCTCAGCTGGGTGCTATAATCGTGGAGATTTCATTGTCTGCCTAAACATCATGAGCACAAACTTCAACCAGAAGTGAGGTATCTGAACAAGCTGTCAGTTATATGTGGTAAAATTCTACCTGAAGTCTGTGTTGGTGATGTTGTTTAGGCAGACAATGAAATCCTCACATTTACATCACTCATCTCAGAAAAAACAATTCCACCAAAGTTATCCTCCTAAACTATAAATCTTTACTACCTAATAATTATTTAAGTGATAATGTGGTATGTGTTACTTATGTCGACAAATATAAGTAGTATGTATCACCGACTGAAAGTGGAATGCCTGGCATTCGAAGGTTGAGAAAATCGAAGAGAAGAGAACGAGAACAGAGAGTGATTGGTATTGAAACGTAGGAACAGTTAAGTCTGAGCCAATTGATGTATATTTTGCAAATGAAATATTTACTGTATGGTTCTCATATTTTACCAAGATATTCTGTAATTTTGTGTTTAAATACAATACTACAATACTACAATGTGTAATGATAAAACGAACCTAGTTTCTATTGATCATATTTTTTTGATCCCCTATTTTTTTAACTTGACCTGAAGTTTTTTTGGAGAAATTCCTTTTGACTATAGGGTGAAATTCATTGACATTAATATATATTCTTGAGAAGTAGCTTTTTAAGGTTAATCTGTCTTAACTTATTGGATGTTAAAATATACATCAGTTCTTTGTTTTCGATATATTCTACTCTGCTTTAATATTCAAATTTACATTGGAAATGTAGTTACATAGTTGTTTTAAACTGTAGTTTAATATGCGTTTATTCAAGGTAAAGATGTTATAAAATATGTTCGGAACCGATGTTTTAAAATGATTTCGCTTATCAGTATTTCGATGTTAGTTTTAAACCTTTTATTTCAGTTGAAATCCAATCATTACTACTTTTTAGTAGAGATTAACTGATACTTTAAGCACGAAGTCGTGTTACTGTATTTTTTAATGGTAGCATGAACTCTACCTACTCTAAATTGTGTGCTAACTTTAAGTAAACAATAAAATTATGATTATTGATTTGATTAATTTAGCCAGGTATATTGATGAATGTGTAATTTTTTATTTCTATTTTCAATTGAGATTGATAATGGTTAGCAGTGTAATCCAAGATACGCGTTTCCTCCTATTTGGAACTTGTCGGCTAGATGTACCTGCATCCCAGAGTTGAGTCCCGGAGTGAGCATCAACTCTGGTATACAGGCACACTCATCTAACGAGTCCCAAATAGGACAAGACGTGTTTCCTGGATACTACTGCTAACCACCGTTCATCTCTGCTTAAATTGCTTGTTACTTAATGAGGAATATGGAGGCAATCCACATAGGATGTACATATACCAAAAGCGACTGATCAGTTGTATTTCTGAACATTAATGCAAAAATCCAAACAACCATTTTTTATGAATTTATATTTCTGCTGTGAACAAAAACATTCACTAATTGATCTTCTGTTTTCTTATTAGAAATTTAAATGTCGCAATATCTTATATTTCGGGTACTAATCAATCAGAAGGAAATTCGTCTTGTTTTTCAATAGCGGCTATGAGTATTGTCTACTTTTTCCAATTAGCTTATGATCATAGTTTGTTTTCCATCAGATTTCGCGAAAGTATTAGTTAGGATTTCACTAGCATTCAGTTCACTTCAATTTACAGAAGCGTAACAATAAAGAAATCAGAATTTTTTCACATTTTTTATTTAGTCCGCTTACTTGGCACAGGTTTATGTACTTGGCTTCGAGTCACATTCCAAGTGTTGAGGGCTAGTCAGCTACTTGCAACGTAGAACCTAGGACATTTGTACATCGGTTCAAGTTTCCCGATCAAATTAGCACAATCAGATGGAATTATCAAAACAAACCATAAAGTAGTAGAATTGGTAACAATATCAGTAATAGTAAAAAAGATCAAGTATAGACAATATGATTCGAAAAGAATGAGTTCGTGCAATAAAAAAAAGTATAAAATTATTATAAAACTCAGGATTTAGCGGAAAACACACAGTGAATCGATCCGCGTCATTAGCACCGATTCTGAGCGCTGTCATTCAATATCTTTAACTATTACTTACGATAATCACATGAGCCTTAACCAGATTGTCTGAGCCTTACCAACATCATGGCTCAAGTCTGCCAGTCAATGACCTCATTGACTATCTTCCATATTAGTCTGATTTCTATCCACATTATCTTCGTTAACTTATGAATTGATTTTAATTTATATGGTGTTTTTTTTGTTTAATGTCATTTTGTTGTAAATAAAACAATGACCACTTGTTTTCTATGTGTTCACTGATTTAACTGCTTTATTCTTCTTGCAAACACACATGAAAATTGAATGGTATGATTGTAGTCCTTACCGAATGCACCAAATATACACATTGATCGTTCTAATTCATCTGTAGAATTTCGTGATGTGAAATTCACTTACTACACTAAAGACCCTAAAGATTCTTTATTAAAACCTGGGAAGTTCATATGTGATGGATTAAGTTTTAAGGTAAGCAAGCTTATTATGATGGTGTGTTAGTTTCAATAGGTAAGTAAAGTTTTTCAACAAAATTACTTTTTTTTTCATCGATATTATTTTTTCTTTGACCAGTTTTATAACTAATTTAGTTGTTATGGTAAATTTGCACGATGTTTCAAAACACAAAAAATAAAATTTAACATCTACTGTGTTTTGAGATTGATTACGGTAAATTCAAATAATAAATGATTGGGAAATTGTTCTAATACGATATGGGATCTATGCGAATTGAATAAGTTGAACAACTACTACTACACAAAGCTTCAACCATTATCCTTCACGTAATTCATAGAAGAGAAGTCGGGAATTCTGGAAAAAGCTTAATGTTCAAATAGTTCAAAATAGTAATAGTACAATTGTATGCGTATATAACGAAAAATATGACCTTGTAATTCAATGAAAATAGTAGACTAAAAGAGTAAACAATGAATCAGAAGTTCAGCAAAGGTCAATAGGGTTTAATATAAATTGAAATAAGTTATCAAAGACTTCCTTACACGTCAGAACAACCATTTAACAAAAATGACTATACAGCTTGAGGTCTTAACAATATCTCCCATGTCAATGAATGACATTTCAGTTTAGTTTATGTTATTAATTATCATCAAGTGAGTGATTTTTAAACCAATTGTTAAGATTTGATGATGATGTTCACCTTTAAAGTCTATCATATAAACTGACTGGATAGTTAGAGTTAATAGCTGTCAAGATATTCTAACCGATAGTTTCACTTCACAGTTGATTTTTTTAGATGCCATTCTCACGAAAATAAACTAAAAGTCACTATCTTGACTGACCCCTCAATATTCCAATATGATTACGTCGTTCATAATTTTTATTCCCTTACTTCACTTACGCTTTTCGAATCATATTCTCCATTTTTAATATTATTAACACTAGGTTTTTCATTTTTGCTGTCTATGTTGATGACTTCATCTCCGTGTTCTAAGGTGATGCGACCAATTATGGTATATATATCCCTGCTGTCATAAAACATATAATTAAGAAATTCTTCTTTTTTGCTCGTTTCTCCTTTTAAGGTTGAACCTGGTCAACGTGTAGCTATTGTTGGTGAGAGTGGTACCGGAAAATCTACAATTGTTCGATTAGTCTACCGATTTTTTGATGTATCTAGTGGTAGTGTACTAGTCGGTGGTCAAGATGTTCGGTCAGTGAATTTGGAGAGTTTACGTCATGCAATTGCAGTGATACCACAGGTAATTATGTGAATAACAAATGCATACTTAAATTATTCAAGTGATTTGATTAGGTCAAACTGGTATAACATTTTATAAGAGCAGTTAAAATCTTAGCTATTGTTACTCAAATGAATCGTTTGTTGTCAGCAAACTTTGCCTTAACGTAACTTATGTTCATCTAATATAATTATCTGTAGTTTTAATGGTCACAATATATCATTAGGTAACTGACATTTCCGTAACTAACTTATTATCTAGTTTTAGTGTAACTGTTCCCTTTTCCCACGATATACAAAATAGTTAATTATGTCTCACCTATCCCCATCAATCCATGCCTCCTGTTGAGTAAATGAAATTCCCGTACCTTTTCTCATAATTTGTTGACCAAAATCACTAAATGACATTCCTCAATAGTTCACTGTTCTATAAATGTCCACGATTATATCGTCATCGAAATCAGCCAAATTCAACCAGCTATCCGTCACTGTTTCATATTTCGTGCAACATCCCAAGGGCTGCTATTTTCAATCGGATTTCATATATCAAATTAAAATGTAGCTTTGCTAATTATATATGTAAGAACGCTTTATCAGTATCCATGTTCATTGTCCTGTTGTTTCATAGGATACGGTTTTGTTCCATAATACAATATTTTATAATCTCCAATACGGTAACTTGAAAGCAACTCCGGAAGAAGTTTACGAAGCCGCTCGTTTATCGAATGTAGCCAATGCAATTGAACGTATGCCACACGGATACGATACACAAGTAAGTGGAGTATTCGCTGTTTTTAAACCATATCATCAACTAGAAGTTAGTTATTTTATAAACCAGACAACCAACCAAATCTATTAAAGTACCTTAACACTACAATGCGGAACTACTGAATGCTTGTGTATATTATATACCCTTCAGAAAAACGCCCGATCGCAATTCAATTATCCTGATGGTAAAAAAGGACACAATTTTCAGAGGCGCAGTTTTGGATCTTACGTACCTCATATTAATCGTTGACACTTATCCGGTCTGAAATATAAATAAATTTTTTTTACTAAAGCGTTAATCGTGATGATCTGATTAAGTTATGTAACAAATTTGTTCTAGTTGTTATGAAATTGTTTTGTTAACAGATTGCTGCAAGTTTATAGCATATAGATGTAACTAAGCGCTGATCAGGATCATTTATTATTATATATTGTCCAACATCTTAACGGTTAAAAGATTCACCTTCCAGCTACAAGTTAAGATACTACTCTGCTTACTTTATTTTGGATAGTCGGGTAGTAGGAAACAGCCGTGCCCCCAATAACTGACTAAATAAATTTATACTTCATAAATTCCTATTTATTAAGAATTAATACATTCAACATACTATAGTTGAAGGTTTTTAAAGATCAGTCCTAGCTTTTAGGTTGCATTTTATCACAGTTTGATTTCAGTTGAGGTGCCATTAAAAACTAGCGGACATTGGACAGCTCTATCACTGTACGTTACTCTTCAGCAATGCGAACCCACCATCCCACCAGTATTCAAACCCAAGGGTCTTCGGGTGTCACGGCAAACTGCAAACCTTTAGAACCCTTGATTTGATGTCAAGCAGTTCGCAATTTGGACGACAATCGTCTAATGATATCAGAAACAAGTCACTACTGACATGTCTGAACTCTATCAATCACGTGTTCTCATTAGAACTACAGGAACATCTTGGAGCAGGTCATTACAAAGCTGACTATTATATTTATTGGAAAAGTTTTGAAGATTGTCTTTATTTTTAGCTCCTAATGATTAGGCGTTCGCCTAGAGAGCAGACGTTCCTTGGTTCTATCTCCGATTTGTTTGTTAGTGCTCAATACTGAGGAGTTTCATACTGGAACAAAACAGTTGTCCAGTACCACCTGATTTGTAGTAATACATCAACTGAGATCAATCTCTGACGAACATGACATACATTCACTTCGAATAATTGATCAGTTGTTCGTTTATTTTGATAATATGCATATTAAACTTACATTTAATTTAATTTTTGGTTTTTCTTCGTAATCAAAGGTCGGAGAACGTGGTTTGAAATTGAGCGGTGGTGAAAAACAACGAATAGCGATTGCAAGGGCTCTACTGAAGAAAGCTCCAATTTTGGTTTATGACGAAGCAACATCATCATTAGATTCAATCACTGAACATGTATGTTTTTATATGTTCTCAATATCGATAACAATTTATTTTTCATTATAGTCAAGGTCCCAACTAAGTGAATGTTTAGAACTTCCAACTCGTGGAAATAAGTTGTGGCTATTAATAAATATATAATGAGTGCCCCCAAATGCCCCTGTACGGCCGAGAGCGGGCAGAGTCAGCTCTCCCTCCTGAGATGCTCTGATATGGCCACGTGCATACAACTGCCAGGGAAGTCATACTCACTGCCTTCTCGCGGCATTACTGTTGTTTACGAAATTGAGAGGACGAAAAGCGAATGTTCGGCACTTTAACCAGGTTAGTGGACACAGAGGGTCCACCTAGGGGAGTTGGGAAACCCTGATTCCAAACCAGTGGTGTACATGGGCTCCAGGATCCTGAAGGAACAAATGGCTTATGAATCTATTGTTGGCCAACGACTACTATAAGACTGCATCTCCTGACGTTGCTCCACTGCCTTGTGGATTAGACCTTTAGGTTGAAGGCTCAGGGTGTGGTCCCCTAAGAAAACCACCTGTTTCGGTTTGGGCACACGGGCAGTACTCCAGCCCTCACACAAAGCGAAGGATTTATGTGCCTCATATCTATTTGGTGCCTCCTTGTACCAATGTTTATGTGTTTGAATAATTAGTGCTTATGAGAATTGCCGTTGTACACCAGATTTTATTTGTGAACGGACAAACCTCGTAACGGCTCTGGACGTAGATCAGATTACACAGAGTTACTCTTATTTTTGTTGTATACATATTAAGCTTATATGTTACATCTGTACGAGTGCTCACTGTTCATCAAATTACGCAAACTTCTCGAATTTCAAATCAATTACCATGAAGAGTAAGTGGAGGTGGTGCGAAGTTTGTATTATACCTATGTACACTGATTATGTACGATTTCGTTAGCCTTACATATCGTCCCTTACTCATAGATGAAGTTCATTTTCCAGGAAATCGATCTTCGGTAAGTACTTCTTAAGAAGTTGTGTAAAAAAGTTAGTTCCAAAACCGTGAGGTGTCTGTGAGCTCTCAGTTTATTCAGGTTAGTTTTGAAGGGGTTTCCAGGTATCACCAATAAATTAACTTAAAGACTTAGAAAAGTAAAGCGAAAGACAGTTATCATGTCAACAAATACAACCATCTATGTGTTCAAACACACGACAGAAGAGGCAAATTTGTAATTAGACAGTCTAACTCATCATAATTTTTTCGGTATGACGGAAGTCATCATTTGAGATATGTACAGTAAGAAACATACCTAGATAGTTTCCTCATTAACTACGCTGATATTTTGTTATCGAAAATGCATTTCGTCCTTGAAATGAACCGAAGCTTAGTTGGATGCAGCTAGTACTCTAAAAGAAACAACAATCTTCACCCTAATATAATAGATCTTGAAATTCATCACTTTTCCAATTGCTAGTGCACAGTTAAATACTTAGGTCAAAACACACGATTCAAGACGACAGAACTTGATACTGAGGCTCTGCTTATGTTGTAAGTCGATCGACTTTTATTTCTTCAAGATAAAACTGCATGGTAAATCTCAGTTGCGACACTATTCCAATTCATCGTACACAGGGGCACATCGATACAGTCTATATGCGATACCTGGCTAACAACATTCGTGATAGTAGTTTATGAATCACTGACACTGTTGGTGAAAGTCAAGTAAATCGATCCTATATATATATATATATACTTTTTTTCTTTTCCCTACTAAAATAATATAAACAAATTATGTAGACTATTCTTCAACGATTAGCAGAAGTTACACCTGGAATTACATCGCTTGTAATCGCTCATCGTTTAAGCACAATAATTGATGCTGATGAAATCTTAGTCTTACGAAATGGTCGTGTATCTGAACGTGGCACGCACTCCAGTTTACTATCACAACCGGATTCATATTATAGACAACTTTGGGATCAACAACGAAGTGGAATCTTACCCACTACTATTACGAGTACTAATGATAATTGTAACAGCAATGATAATCATAAAATATCCAATTCAGGCAGTCAAGATACAAACACCTAAGGCACTACGTATAAATATAATGGTTTGAGCTTTTCTTGAATTTTGTAGTCGGTAATTTTCTCCATGCCTACACTTGTTTGATAGTTTCAGTTTTATTATTTTCTATCCATTTTACTAACTTATTCATACTTGAACACAACTATTTTATCTTATGTGGTTTTCTGTCTATGTTAGATGAATAGTTAACAAACTACGTAACGTATTTGATTTGTATCACAGGATAACTTTGTAAAGAAACAGACTGTATAATACATTTTGTTACACACATACTGTTTAATTTTTCTGCCAACTAGATCATCACAATTGATGAATATGGGATTCATTCCAGTTTTCTAAACTGTAGTATAAAAAATTGATGCTTTAAATGAAATCGGCTGAAAACTCAGGACCTATCAAGTCAGTAAGACTGGTGGTCACATAGCAACTCTGAAATATAGGATTTAATTACCTTTTGGTATGCTAATACTCGGCAAACCTATTAATTCCGTAAAATATATTCATTCAATAAGTAAATCGAACGGATTGTGCATGTGAACGTTGCCATCACTATGTTTTATCGGATCAGTGTAAAGTGTAAATTTCAATCCATTATCATTAATCAGTATCCATGAGAACTTCCACTGCCATTGTGCTTCAGTTTTGATAAGGAAGGAAATTATGCTCTCAGCTAAGGGTTTAAATGAATATAGTATTCATTAATATAGATACCAGTAGGCTTAGAAAATATGATATCCTGTCCAGAGAAAGATTCCATCAATTTGAATAAAGTCACAGTATTAGGTGTTATATGAAATTAAGTGACGTAATTACGTAGTCCCTATTCAACAACTGTTCGGAAACAAAACTCATGAAACTCAAATGATGAGTTGATCAGAATGTAGAAAATGACAAAGATATAGTAAGTCATTTAGGAGAAGTTTTGTTCCCCGAGTTGTATGGTTTGGTGGTGTTTTCATTGTTGTTCTCAACAACATCATCAGGACAAAATTCAGGTCGAAATGATGTGTTTGAATTTGTTCATATATGACTCAGCATGTTCTATCGATCTTGATTGGTTATTGTTGACCTTTAACCTGTCATTGTTTAATTCTTTAATTTGATTATACCACACCATGTTTATCCATGATTTTTCTGATTGGTTGATAAATTGGATCGGTCAACAATAACAATTCAAGCTGAGTCACATGTGGGGAAATCTGAGCACTTAAATTTTACCTGAAATTTGCGCTGATGATTTCCAGATGAGAAATGAATGTTCCACAACCAAACCATCCAGCTCAGAAAACAAAAGGTCACCTGAGTGACAAATGTACTTCAAGTGGAAAATAACATTTATTTAACATGCATATACTCAACTCATATATGAACAACAACGTTCATCAAAAATCCAACAATTCTATTTTCTGGTTAATAGCATTATAAATCAACGGCTTCGATACTGGGATAAACTGGTGTGTGATTAACTTGATAACTTCTTGTGCTACAACTCCACCCATAAATGCAACCACTGAATGCAGCTCATTACCACGGAACTGACACATTTCCTGTAGGTTAGAAAAGAAGGTAGAAGTGGCGCGGCTTTAATAGATTGCAGAAAAAATAATTATATAATATATATATATATATATATATACATATATATATATATCGTTTGCATCACTGACTAACTTTAGTTAGGCAACCACTGTAAACCAGGAAGCATTGGATAGCTCTTTTATCTTAGTGTGGGACTCAGCAGTGCACATCTACAACCTCACCGAGAGTCGAGTAGAGCATCCTCGGTCTCACAGCGATCGATTTAAAAGAATTTAGTGGATATCATTATGTTTTCTGAATACTTATGACAATATTACAACCTTTCATGTAAATTGGGACAGAACATATAGGCGAACAATCCTGTTTTAAAATAGATCTTCGTCAGACTATCAATTTAGCTGATACCATGGAGAAAGCTATGTCGATCCTAAGACTAGATCACTTAGCTTACTAGTTGACGAGTATCTGTTTTCGTGGTTCGAAAACGGTCTAACTGTATCTATATCCAGCTCCATCTTATCACACTTGGTCGATCATGATCATGTCGTGGATATAACTAGAGCATTCATAGGGATTCATCAAATAATTATTAATGATCCTTTTCTTAGTCTTGTTATCATGCTGTTTTTTAGTCCTACGCCAACTATATTAATAACAATTTTTACAATATACTCACTACGACTATTTATGTATCCTATTTTATAACGATTAGCTTCAATTTTTTCGAATGATTCAATATTCTTTAAATATGTATATAGATATTATCGTATCTTAGAAATATGAAGTTCTAATTGAACATAATATTGTTCTCTTAAATGTGAATAATAGCGTTGCTAATAAGTTCAAAAACACTTCCACAGGACCCGAGTATCAATCATTTTAAAGTATTACAATTCTAGATAGGGAGTTAGTCATCATTAAAGTGCAGTTTGACACAATTATGTGTCCACTCAAGTTATATTGATTAAAAACATAAATAACAAAATAATTTAGTACCAATGATAATGAGAACGATTATGAATTGAGAATATAGTTTTTAAAAAACTACATTATTTCTCGTAGCGTTCCAATCAGTTGCAGCGTTAAAGTCCGCTACCAGAACTTTTGAAAGATCTACGTACTGTCATTATGTTGTGAGAGAAAAAACCCCCAAACGCCCTGGTATGACTGAGAGTGGGGTGGGTTCGCCCTCCCTCTCGAAATGCTCTCACATGACCACGTGTATACAGCCTCCACCAGGGAAGTCCTACTCACTGCCTTCTCGTGGCATTACTGTTGTTTACGAAAATGAGAGGAGGAAAAGCGAATCGCCGGCGCTTTAACCGGATCCCCAAACAATGGTGCACATCGGCTCCAGTATCCTGCGGGAACAATTGGCGTATGAACCAATCGTTGGTCACCGGCTACCATGGGAATGCATCTCCTTACGATGCTCTACTGCCTTTTGGATCAGACCTTTAGGTCAAAGGCTAAAGGTGTGGCCCCCTAAGAAAACCACCTGCTCCTGTTTGAGCACCCGGGCAGTATCACAGCTCTCACACATATCGAATGAGATTTGTGTGGCGCATATGTATTCGGTGCCCTCCTGTACTAATATTTATGTGTTGAAATAAATAAAATTTTAAAAAACTAAGAGGAATTTATAAAGTAAGATAAGGAGTGAATGCGATTGCGTCCATGTGACCGATTCTGCACAATGTTACTCAACCCTTCTAATCTCTGGCTGCGGTAATGTCTCAGACCAATTGGCCAACTTCATCGATTAAAAGAATATTATTGAAAATCAAGATCTAGAAGAAGGTGGAAAATGTGGGTGGGTCTCCAATCACTGACATTGATTATTGTGCAAATCCCAAAAAGGTAGTTTACTCCTGATAACACAATCTGAATCAACAAGAATATGTTTGGGGTTTGGATCCTACACTGGATACTTGATTCCGGATCAGCAAATAACTAGATTGCTCGGTCATAATATTTGATCAAATGACACACTTGACTTAATTATCTGGCTAGCCATCAAGAACTAGAAATAGGTCATAGCACAACAGTAAATTAACACATAAAATGCAATCACAAAGTGTAGTCAAATTGAAACACAAGTAGGGTCAGTTTTACATATAAAATAGTGTTTTATTTTTACTGTAACTAGATGTGTCTGTCTTTGCTCACTCACCGATCACAGATTACTCCCACCTAACTTTCCGGGGCTTTTAAAGACATTCAGAGAACACAAACTGATAATTTTAGTATATCACACTGCTAATTCGTTTTTATCAGTATTACATACCGTAGGAAATATAATTAAGTACATTACCTCTAAATAGTCTGTGCTAACACGATTCGTTGCAATTCCAAACGACTGGAGAACACGATTTAAGTGTATCCGTAACGTTGGTAAGTCAGATTCAATGATGTTCATGTCTAACTGTTCAGAATTTGTAGCGGAGAATTGTTCTTCACGTGGCACTAAAATTCCAGTTGAGTTTTGATTTTGGTTGTTAGAACTGAATTTAAATCTGGTAGTATAAGGCTGTGAGCTACCAGGCCACCGTCCAGTTTCCATCAGAAAACTACTAGCACCTCTAAGAACTAAATACCACAACATGGAATCATTTTCTTTGTGTGTTGGGAGTAAATCTAAAAGAAAATACCAGAGTTCATATATTGTATACGGACAAGCCACTAGAATTCATAATAAATAATAAGTAAAGTGACTGTGTAATTATGCTCGACAGAAGACAGCCATCAAAAAGTTTGAGTTGCTTTTTTTTAAAGTATTTAGTCTATTGCGAAGCAGTACACTAATGCTTTAAATTAGGAGGTATTAAATCCAAGTTTCTAGTAAAACTACCATAACTAACTAAGCAGTAAAAATATCTAACCGAAGAATTAGGAATATTCTCTTATTTTAGTTATTGAATGTGGGGATTGATGAATCAATGCACATTTGTGTCTACAGTTAATTGAAACGGTAATCCAAAAGTTCGGATACGCTGCTGACCAAATGAAGTGGAAATCACTAGCTGCTTCATAGCCAGTACTTATAAAGAAGAGCAGATTCTTGGAAATCTTAAAGGTTAGTACTAGATTAATAGTGGAGCTATGTTACCTTGGAAATGGAACACTTGAAGAAAATCAACGTCTACAAGACAACTTTTGTTGCCATAATGAAAAACGGGTATGACATGCTTAGAATAAAATCATTGATACTGATAAAGAAACACAAATTTTAACAATAAATAGGAATTTACTCAGATCGTCTGAACGCGCTGGTGAAAGTTTCATTTCCTCTTCTAATGACCGACAACGTACAACATTCAAGAAGCTTGCATTTTTAACTGAAAATAATGCATTAAAATATTAATCAACAAATGAAAATAAAATAAGGTCTAACATCTGAACAGTCTAATTAAAGTGAGATTTTTCGCAAGTGAAAATAGTCATTGTTTCAAAATACCACTAAATGCTTTTGTTGAGACGAGAGAGCTTCCGTTTGGATGTATGTAACAAATTATTGAATGCCTTCGTCCAAATAATTTTCTTAAAATTAGATATTTACAATGAAACACCTAGGAAAGTTTATAATCAAAAAAAGCGTAGCAGAATAAAAGGACAGTCATCGAAAACATAATAGAAATACACACTTTGATTTGCGCAGTCGATTAGTATCACTAAACTTCACACATGAACGGTACTCTATACATTAATCAAAACTTAGTTGCCGACTTATATTAATCAACATAATAATGATTAGCAATTTATTAGTTTTGAGGGAAATTTCACCTTTAATGCGAAATTTCCCAGACTATATGCTTATCTTATAATATCTAATTTATTGATTGAGATATGTTACTACATTGAAGATAAAGAAACATCTTTACATTTCTCTAGAATATATTTCAAACATAAACAATCACAACAGCTAGTCAATCATAAGTAACGCAGGACCTGGAGCACACATTTGTGTACCAGTTCAAGCTCATATACCATATAAACACTGAGTTGAAATAATCAAAACAAGTTCCAGAGTAAAAGAACTAGTAACAGTACTAATTGCAGTAAAAAAGACTAGGCAAAGACTGTATGATTCCGGAAAGACTGAATTATTACGATAAAAAGTAGATAATTTTTAAACTCAAGATCCAAGAATCTGAGTAACTACAACTGACTCTGAACCGTTCCACTCAGTGGTTAGAATACTCGAGGAACACCCCAACTAATTAGCTGCACTTATGCCCACACGGTACAGTTCAACAACCAATGATAAAAAACAACTGAATTGACATTGTTAACTCTATTTTTTTAGAATTCTTTTTGCGGCAATCTGTATTTAGCTCGAAAATATTAACATCATAAATATTAAGAACGAAAGCTTTCCGAGGACTCACCAAAAAGACGTACGTCGTCTACAGAAATATCAGGGAACTAAAATGCAAAAAATAAAGTAGGTATAGTCGTCAGGTTCAAGTCCCAATGTGAACATCGAAATTGTGATTTAGGTATATCTATATAAATGCCTTCCATCATTAAAGCCTGTGTCTCAGAGTTAGGAAAAATAATACAAAATGAGCTGCTGCATAGTATCTTCGTCTTTTGTTAGGGAGATGGAAATCTCGTTGAGATCAAAGGTGGTCGCTGTTGTATCTGTTCTGGTATTAAGTCAGCTAAAAGATCACTTTGACTAACTTTACAACTACGTTACCCGGTACAATTAGATTAGGAAATGACTCAAACTAGTCCTGAGGCAAAATCACGCAATCGGTAGAAGAGAAATCTATATATCCTACATTTTGGCATCACCATAAAAGATATGGATCTTTATCATTTATAACCATAGAATCGATGATAAAAACTTCAGATTGGATATTAATTCCGGGAAATTCAGAAAACGAATAGCTACTAAGACCAAGGCACGTGTAAAAAATAAATTCTGGTTATAATATAGAATGCGAGTATAAAATGAAGAAACATTCTCACTACGAAAGCTCGGATGACAGAATTTTTGCAGTTTTTCCCCGACAGAATATTTTTCTACTGCTTGGGATATTTTCTACTACTTATTGTTTCAATGATATGATACATTCAATCAAACAAGATTTGTTTACACAAATTATCTCAACATAAAAAGTTGAATATTCCTTTTAGAGATGTAAAAACGATTTCTTAAAACTTACTTGCAATAATCTTGAGGCAAGGCGTTCCACCGCCCATTCAGAACGTTCACGATAAATAGACAAAAGCTGTAAATAACGCTTCGAATCAGATATCATATCTGGTAGACTACCACGTACAGGTAATTGTCCCTCACCTTCATGTTCAATAAAATCTCGTAGAGCACGAACTAGACGCCAGAATTTTACAGGTGAAATAGTTGTGTAAACAGAATTCTTTCTGTGTAATTGTTGGTGGTTCCTGGTAGGAAACTTTAGATTCTATTTATGTGAGTAAAGATATACAGTAAATAAGGTAAATTTATTAGATCATATAGATGAATTCTTTCAGAAATGTGGAATGTTGTATCGGCAGACAATTTTGCGCAAACAGTGTTTTAAATTTTGTACCCACAATTTAACGAATTTACCAGCAATATGCACTAATGTTGTGGTGGCACAAAGAAGCACTAATTTACTGAATTACTGACTCATTTTTCGTTCTTTGATTTACATAGAAAGTAATTTCAGCCAAAAATCTGAACACAATTTTCTATTCTAAATACGCTTCAGCAAATGTAATATAGTGAGGGTTTGAAAATGAGGATGGAGTAAGCGGATAATCAACTTTCGGAAGCTACTCAGAAGGTTCTCTTAAATATGCTCACTAACTCTGTAAGATAACCGCCTATGGACGTTGTACACAGAATTATATGAAGTTAGATTTACTCAATTTACAACGGTTTTCAATAATATTTCAAACTATAACATAGTTTGATAAGAGGATAATATGTGTGTACCACAGAAGTAATTGTTGTTAAACCTCTTTTTTAAAACAACAGTATCAATATGTATATGAAACTTTTAGTGCAAAATAATGCCTAGGAATGTTAAGAAATAATCATTAGCTTCACTAGGAAAGGAACTTGATGAAACCAGTGAACTTCAAGATGTGAGAGGTTAAGTTAATTTTAGTACAGAAATTAATAAATAAATCCTAACAAAATATGTAATTTCCCGTATTTACATACTGTATTACTGGATCCCGAAATACCAATATTTGTAAGACAGGGATCATTACAGCGGTCATCCTCGAGTAACTTCTTCACATTTTCAGGAATCTAAAACATAAAAAAACTTACTTAAATGATCCTATAAAATAGAAAAACAAGTGTATCCTTGAGATAATTACATAGTACATTGATCATATGACTATGATTAACACGATACTAGTAAACACACCAATAATAAAGAGCTAGAAACAACAATTTAGGATTACAGATATAATATGCAAAACCATAATTTTGAGACTATATTCATAAATGAAAGGAATTATACAACTGTCGTAAGTAGAACTCTTTTTCTAAACATCAACTTACTATGATGGGTGACAAAGAGATATGGGACAGAAAAGAAAATTTACCACCACTATGACGATACATCCAGAGAAACAGTATGTAAAAAATAACGAGAGTCAAAGAGAAGAAGCAGTTTCGTTACCTTTTGGTTTTCTCAGCAAGAAAAAATACTGTCATATTGTTTAAAAGGGGTTTGAGTTTAATGCGATTCAGATTACTAGTTTACATAATACTAGAAAGCAGTGTATAGTAAAACAATCAAATAATTATTGCCTAACTCGGTAATTCCAAAGCATTGAAGATTCAAGGATTTGTAATGGTGATGGTCGATTAAACCATAGTCGACTTATTATTTTCTTAAAGTGAAGAACCTGGAAAACAGACGGAACACTAAGGTTTCGGTGTTCATTAGACATGACGTAAACAGCATATTTCGCGAATTTTAACAAAGAACAGCCACGTATCAAATAAAGGAGTAAAGTAAACTTTAACTACTACTGTGCCACCCAGTAGGGAATTTTGTAACATCAAATCGATTAGGACCATGTGACTACAATTATAAACAACTTTTTGGAAACACATCTGCAGGAAATAAACTAACTGTAGTCGGTAGAACTGCTGTATTGACTGCCTGACATGCTTCTTGAAAATTCTCCAAGACAAAAGATGAATCCAGGTTATTCTCACGTTTACACAATTGACTCCAAAGATCAACCGCACCTAGAAAATAGATGATTTTCAAACTTGACAAAAACTTCACTAGAATACAAATGTATCCTAAATAAAATTGATGCAATAATGTAAGAACGATCATATAAACTATTTAAGGAGACAGAGACTGGTAGTTTGTTTTATAGAAACAAAGCTGGTGCAACAAGTTAGAATTCGGCGCCTACATATCTTCGTGATAGACGTAAGTTTCTGTGTCTCAAGTCGCATCTGTCATGTTCAACAAATAACATCCAATCAGATTGAATTAAATGATATCTATGTAATTAAGCGATAAATGAATGGTGACCATACAAGCTTTTACACCAAGGATAATTATCACATGTCGGTTTTTAGAGGGATATCTGGATATCATTTATTATCACTTCACGATTACAGTAGGAATCCTTTATCAGCGAAATATCGGTAAAGGTTTCAGTTCGATGATCTAATAAGTTTAGTTCAAATCGACGAATCAAACCTTCTTGAATATCTGCGATACTTGTTCCAGCCATCTAGATATTTCAAAGTTATCTGTCTTTTATTTGTTTCGATAGATTATTATGTCAATTAGTTGCACAACCTAATCAGGTGTGTTTGTGAAAACTTCACGACCTTTCACTGTACAAGTAAAGAAAGAGCACAATCAGAGACATTGTGCTTGCTGTCAATATGCATCGAAATGAATGTACGTTATTCGGATGTCGATTTCTGATCTGCTAACACCTAATTGAGTAGTTGTTTAAGCTGATACTACTACTGTACTTTAATATTTAATTTTAAAATTTCTCCCTGTTGTACTTACATGGTGCGGCAAACTGGGCCGATGTACATATATGCCAGGTTTTATATTGCTTATGACTGACTGTCTGAGTTAAGCGATGAATATCAAGATGATAGTAAGTCTAGGGAAATTAAGGTTTAACATTTCACAAATGAAAGTTATCATTAAAGCAAAATGTTAAGTCTATGGAAACATTTAAGTAACAATAACATACACTGGAAATGAAATAGAAACGGACGAATAATGGGTGGTTACCTTTGGAAATCATATCTTTAATCTCTGCCTTTTCTTTATGATTTCTTGGAAAATGGCCGTGCTAAGAAAAGTAGGAGTCGAAAAAATGTAAATTAAGTGAGTGGGATAATTACACAACCACAACACACTAGATTAAATATATTTTTAAAAAAACAGAAATAATATATTGGAACTGAGGGACTAGTCCAATAAAATGGTGACGCAATTAACTGCTTGAAATAGAGCAAATTGAAATTAAAGCCGAAAATGAAGTGAAATATAAGATACTATCGCCAGCAATCAATACAATAGTGCTTCACATCAATTATCAATAACTTGACAATTCGTTTTCATATGATCACCTGATGACCCTGAGGTTTATTCAACTAACTACAGCTTTGCACTATGTCATTTATTCAGCACTTGTTAAGGGTTGTAAATACTACCAGGTTATGCAAACCAAAATAGTTTGGAACATTTTAATCAGTAATTCAATGGTAGAAGAAAAAATCTTCAAAATATCGAGCCACAAAGTCTGGGTTAAAAAACTTACTAACTTTACGACACTAAACTCATATGTCTACATTTTGTCTGTAGCATTCTATTAACTTACAAACAGAAATAACAAAGGACCTAAAGTAGTTGTGTACCGTGTAAAACATTACTAGAGAAATCAGCACAACTGAAAGCCAGGACCCTAACAGTAGTACAGGGATATAAAAACAATAGAATATAAAACCCTTATACAAAAGAAATAAGTGGTTCAAAATAAAGAGATGTCTATGAATTGCAGGAATACAAAGTTGGTTGCCTCCGCCTAGAGTCCTACTAGGTTTACTGACGACACTAATTCCGAATAAAGGTTGGAATTGGGCCTTAGATTAGCAACCTCATCCCGCAAAAATAACGCTGTTAAGACATTAGCCATAAAACATCACGAAACGTTAGCCACAAACAGTAGTTATTAAATTAAACTACAAAGTCTAAACTTGATAATCTAGGTTTGTTGACAGACAGTTTATAAGGTTCATACTTTCCAACACAGCTTATTTCGATAGTTAGAATGTTCATAATTTGACGAATTCTTGATCTGATAAACGTGAGATGATTTTTGATCTACTTGTATTCAACCTGGTAGTAAACTTTCCCTAACATATGCTTTAATCATTGCAGTTTACGATTTTACATATCTAATGATGAAATTGCTTTTCTTTTACAGGACGCATGGTGAACTTAATTTTTAGTTTCTACATGAATATTTAAACGATCGAATGAATAATGCCACTAATTGAAAGCTAGTCCTATCAACGTTTCCAAATGGTTGTTGTAAGTTGGCTAAATAACTGCAGAAAAGGATGTATAAATATAAGCTACAGATTAGAAAATAATTATCGTTACAACAGATGTGACGTCAGACATAGCTTCGAAGACAAGAAATGAATGAGTAGTACACTAGTCACTTAGCCATGTTGAATACGGCACATATTTATACTGGTTTAATTTGCTACACCGCCTTATTACAGAGATGAAATTACTAAGCCAAAACATATAGTTGAAGTAGTAAAAATATCAGGAGCAATGGGAAAAAATAGGCAAAGAAAGAAAAACGATTTTTGGACTGAACATTTGAGGGGAATTTAAGAGTGAATGTATCTATGTTACTACGATTAATCTGAGCCATATCACCCGTGCACTAATATTAGCGACAAACAAAACAGAAACTGAAGACACTGACCACACATAAAAATTAAAACAATTCTCGGACAGCAGTAAAACTTACTAGAGAAATAAACTTCTGCAGAAAAACATAAACAATTATGAGCCACGGTGTATGACAAAGCTTTTCAGATGTCATTTCTTCTAACGGTTGTTCGTCTACCATTTTAACGAAATCAGGAAATGGTCGATCAAGTCTTAGATCAGGGCAATAGGAATCTGGATGTGACTCGACTATCACATGTTCAGGAGAACAGATTCTTAAATATCCAATGACACCAATGCTGAAGCATACCACCAAAGTGATAGAAGTACCACTCAAAAGCTGACTGAGACGAATGAGTAATCTATCAACAAAAGATTATAAACATTTGTATTGGTTGTTCAAATTTATGCACTAAGATTACAATTCTACAAATTGGTTAATTGATATTTTAAATGAAGATCCAACATAGATATTCTGATGAACTCTGAAATCTCGGACTACTCAAAAATCATATGATCATAACTTCAATCTTCGGATACCAAGTTGTGACGTGACCAGAGTACCATGAAGTCATAGTTTTTTTGTCTACAGCTACTCACCCATTTGAATGCCCGAACTGAACAAAAATTATTTCACATTGTCACATTACTAACACGACCAATACATGTAATAAATGATGACGAATTAATTAGACACCAAATCATACTCTGATTAAAAATATACGCAATTAGTATGTGCTCAACCTGCTTTATCATTGTTGTGGAGCTGAAGATGAAATCAAGGTGCTCGAATTGAGGTAAGTGGAAATATCTTGAACCTGAGAACTTATGATTAACGGTGTAGATCACTGAATTAGAGTTTCGTCATAACACTAAACGCAGTGGTAAAATTTTTAATACAAATTCACTATTTTTTCCAAGAGAAACCTACAAACATCTGACAATTGAAACCAAATTTCCGCTCGTGAATTTGAATATGCAACCACAACCGCTATTGTGTAAGTTCCTATCAGTAATACTCAGGCTAACGGTGACCAAGTAATTTCTGATATTCTGGTAATTTGAAAAATCAGCAAGGTAGTACACCTGTTATTATTTTAAGTTCTTGAGGTGGTTAACGATGGATGTCTGTTCTTAATAGTAAACGCCGACAATCCAACTTTTGTGATCATATGAAGTCAACACAAGGAACCACTGGATATTAACTACTAATGGAGCGTGAATACAATCAAGTTCTCAATACAAACGTTTCAATGTAGAGCGTGTTTCTTTATTTAAAAAATAAAAATTAAAAAACCCACTCGTCAAATACTTAATATATACCACTCTAAGTTTGAGGAGTAATTGTGCAACCCGGATTTCCAGACCGAAATAGGTAGAACGAGGTTCGTGCCTGGGACTTAGTTGCTGAATATCGATCATTAGGGATCGAATCACAACATATTTTGCTAGTCACAGTCAACGTAGGAACTGATATTAACGTGAATCGACTTGAGTTTCTATTTCTATCAGAGTGAGGAGTTTCGGCATGCACAAAGTTTTAAGATTCAGGTTTTCTGGTTGCGCACCATACTTCATAAGTATGGGAACGTGGATACATTGCACAAAAAGTTACTGGATCTACCCCCCGGTATGCACAGTGCATACATAAGCATGTACGCCACGGGAAAATAGTGGCCAGTTGTGCATACGGGTAATCAAGTGACTAATATTGAGCTGACCAGAAAACGTGACATACGAAATGACAAGATAGTTTGCAAATATTGGTACAAAATCAGGCTCAGTTATGAATAGCCAATTATGAACAAAAACAACCGTTACTTTTTTGCCATTTTGTTGCAAAACTTGCCCGAAAACAGGTTGAGAATATGTAATATCGGTAATATTAAAAAATGCATTGGGAAATAAATCTCTAGTAGCCTGCAGATAAGTACAAAAGATCAGTTGTTTTAACACGAGTTTTCTAAACACTGATTCTCTAGGGGAATTTATGAACCATATGGACTAAAACATGCTTTAATTTAACAGTTTCAAGTCGGCTCAAGAGTGACCACCTAAATTTTTTGACAAACTGAATGTCATATAGAGCAATATGAGAATGGAATAAAAATTCATTGTGTACGTGCACAAAAAAGATGAGGAAACGGTGATTACGAACCAGTCAGTCGCGACGTATAACCTGGTATAAATGTACACTGCTCTAAGTCTCAATAGCCTATATGCACTGAGAGATCGTCCGCTCAAATATCAAAGTAGTAGGGGTAGTAACGTAAATATTTGTGAGGTGTACAGAGGAAATCGCCGACCCTAATACCCTCGCAGATCAAAAAGCCATCACTAAAAAACAAATTTGACAGATTTAGGAATGCGAATCCTCACTTTTCTCTGGCATCTGTTACGATAACAATATCAAAGGAAAAGAAAATTTGAGGGTCCTTTTCTAACAAATCGCGAACATCCTGTTAGCGCTAGATATATCGTGTAACAACAAACCTCGATCAAGTAATTTCCATTGACTTCGTCATTTAGCTCCAGTAAAGACTCTGTTACAACCTGTGCCCTTGCCTGAGAAGTTTTTTGCAATGGAATGTTGTGTAACTACCTTTCCGATATGATTTTCTGTAACGAAGAAACTAAAAATTTATATGATAAGACGTTCGAGTTACTTGCTTCCTAAATCTTTATCAGTTACATAGGAATCATCTATAATTGTGAAGCTGCCAACGCCTGAATGTTTCAGATTGTGTAGGTATAGGAATACCTGGAAGTACTAAATTTTTCAATATTTCTGCCCCCAAACCTTCAGCTCTCAAAAGACACACCTTGGCATACTCAAGTGCAAACTGCCCATGATCACCCCATAGCCTCAACTGTCTATCATACCGTTTGTCCTTCTCACTCCTATGCATTGAGTTGCGCCATATCTGAAACAAGCGCTAGATGGGAAACTTTATCCATACATATTGTACACCACAAGTAGTCAACCCAATATCCCATCGATCTGAAATTTCATTGGTCCTCCATAGGCGTTAAAAGACATGTGAGATGGATCTCGTACTTTGAAAGGTCTGAAAGTACAATTATTGCTTGAAAGTAATCACTCATGAGACTGGGGATATTGTCGACTTAAATATTCTTCCACCGTTAGTAAACAGCGATCACGCTGTTTTGTCATTCACGTTTATAACTAGGGACATGTTATACGATCAGGTTACACCGCTCCCAAATGTATGGAAAGCTAACATATCAGTCATTCAGGAATGCGCTGCTAAGACAGATTGGTTAGTAGATACTAGCATATCAGTTGAAGAAGCATGGTCTGTATTTAAAGGTAAATTTAGACTAGTTACGTCCCCGTTCATACCATACCTGGTACCGCGAAGACCGAATAATAGTCCACCATGGATAACTAAAACGGTCAGGAAACTCCTTAGAAAAAGGAAGAATCACTGGAATATGTTCATCTCTACTGGCTTAGAACAATACAGATCCAGTTATTGTAAGATTAGGAATGCCTGTAAAGCGTTAATAAGCAAGACTAGACATTCATACGAAAAACAATTGGTTAGGGATTCTAGATATAGTCCGAAACGGTTATTCTCGTATATAAAAAGGCGAACTAAGAGAAGCGATGGAATTCCATCACTTTTGATACGAGACAATCCGTTAATCTTAGCAGAGAATGATGCCGACAAAGCTGAAGCTTTATCGGAATATTTTAGTAAAGTGTTTTCTATCGGTAATGAGGAACGACCAATGATTCATTGTGACCGTGACGGCTCGCTGATGGATCCTGTAGTCATTGAGAAAGATACTGTTTTAAGGCTACTTCAGCATCTCAAACCTGATAAGTCCAGTGGTCCCGATGATATTCATCCTAGGATTATGAAAGCCATATCAGATGAAATCGCTGAACCATTAGCGATACTATTCGACATGTCTCTGAGACAGTCCAGACTTCCTAGAGACTGGAAAGACGCCATAATAAGTCCGGTGTATAAGGCTGGGAGTAGGGATTTAGTTAGTAACTATAGACCCGTTAGCTTAACTAGTGCAGTTGTGAAACTGATGGAGAAAATCATTCGGATAGCTGTTATAAACTATGTTGAAGGGCAAAATCTTTTCTCCAGGGTACAACATGGTTTTCGGAAAGGCCTATCTTGCTTGACAAATCTTCTCATTGCACGAGAAGAGTGGGCTGCGGCAAAGGATCGGAATGCTCCTGTGGATGTAATTTTCATAGATCTAAGTAAAGCCTTTGATAAGGTTTCACACTCTGGTCTTAAATTCAAACTGAAACGTTTTGGAATCCATAACACAGTCGTCGATTGGATAAGTAACTTTCTCCATGACAGGAGACAAAGGGTAAGGGTTAATGGGGCTCTCTCCTCGTGGGTACCTGTAAAAAGTGGGGTTCCCCAAGGCACAATCCTAGGTCCTCTTCTCTTTTTACTTTATGTAAATGAATTGCCAACTGTAGCAAAATCATCCGTTCTACTCTTCGCTGATGACATAAAGATTTGGAGACCCATACATAGTATGTCGGATAGAATAGTATTACAGGACGATCTTAGCTCATTGGTGGCATGGTTAGACAGGTGGTCACTAGAAGTAAATCCTAATAAGAGTGTAGTGATGCAGTTAAATAACTCTGATGAATCGTATGACTATACACTACGTGGATTCGTGCTACCCAAAGCAAGAAACTATAAAGACTTAGGAGTTATATTAAGCAATGATCTCAAAACGACTAGTCACTGTAAGGCTGCTGCTGCAAAAGGCTATAGGGTATTATGGTCAATTCGTAGGTCTTTTCAGTATTTAGATGATGAAATGTTTGAATTACTATACCCGATTTATGTGCGACCACATTTAGAATACGGGATTCAAGCAGCGAGTCCTTGTTTCAAATATGAAGCAGATATGCTAGAAAGAGTCCAACGACGAGCTACTAAGATGGTACAAGGTCTATCTGGCCTATCTTATGAAGACAGACTGAGACACCTTAACTTATTTCCGTTATCTTACCGTAGAGTACGGGGTGATCTAATATTGGCTTATCGTATACTGAACGATGACCTTGGTATTAACATGTCTTATCTTTTGCTTCCGTCTAGAACCGATCATTTGAGAGGAGATTCGAAGAAAGTTCAAAAACCGAGATCAAACCGTTTACGTCTGGAGTTCCGTTTCTCGCACCGAGTAGTGAATTACTGGAATTCCCTACCGGAACACGTAATATCAGCACCGTCTGTTAATATATTCAAAACGAGATTGGACCTCCACAGTATTACAAACTGCAAGGATTAATATAGGTCGACAGACCTCCTATCCTTATTACTGAAGACTGAAGACAGACAGTATTCACACAGGAAATTATGAATATACTTATTGTCTTGAATAATCAGATTTTATATTGGTAAATTATGCTTAGTTTGCGTTAACTGAACCGACTAATGGGTTTTACGACAAATCTAATGAAGGAGGGTTTCTCTACTTCGGATAATACTCGCTAGAACAAACAAGAATTAGATGAGTTATGATAATCGTGTGAAATCTAATATGTACCGCACGCCTGCCCAACAATAATATTTTGCTTGAAATATATTATTACGTTCCATAAAGTAACTTTTGAGGAGTTGTATGTCAAAGCTCAAAGATTCAAACGAGGTTACACTTTTTATCATTGTGATTAGGCCCGATCTGGAACACTCTCAGCCTATGTGACCACTGCTTATTCCGTGAACAGCTTTATGAAGAGGCTTGACAACGAGGTATAAGTCTACCGTAGTTCGTCGTCTTTCATCTGGCAATCTGTACCCGATATACATCCTCAACTTGTGATTATTGATATTATGAATTCTAGTATCATTACAACGACCCACTTAGGCTTACTACTCCTCGTAAGACATAGGCCGCCGGTAGAGTACATGCAAACCTCGCTGTACTGGGATCTCCTTACCAGCTGGTTCTCAAAAGCTATTCATCTGTTTGATATCTGTACACAATTCTCGGCGCGATGTGTTGACGATTGGTTTAATGAAAACAATTATTATTATTATAACCAATTGTACGTGTGCTTGTTTTAATATACTCTTTGATTAACTGTGCCGAAAACATCCATTAAACTTACTCCGATTGTGACCTCGCACGAATCCGGTTACGCTCAGTAACCAAGCTTGTATCCTGGCACGATCTCGGTATTTTTTTGATACCACGAGATCGCCAGCAAATATATCTCAACTTGGTCCATTAACTGCCTTCTGATATTTGGCTTCCGAGGGATTTTATGGATTTATTTGGCACGTGTTTCTTGGTAGCGGTGTTCATAGTCAACTGAGACTCGACACCACGCTACAAGAGCATGTTATTGGTGATAATCTACGGGCGTGGAATTCGGAGTGTCTTGAGCAGACAACTCTTCGTAAATACCTGTTTATTTATAATGATGGTCATAGTAGTTCTCCAGGTCCCAACTTCGCAAAGTACGACTGTTCGACGTTCTTATTCATAATACTGAATTCCGTGTTGGCTGAGATTGGTTACGAGTCCTAAATGTTCCTCAGTTAATGGATACTTTCCTTGACTTCTCAACCAGTTGTTTCATATCTGCACCAAATCCTCGATTATCACTGGTACTCATGTGGTACGTCAAGGTTAACATCACTTTCAAGGCTTTTCAACAAAGTGAGATTTGGTTAGCACTTCTTTCAGTGTGTTAGAATTTCGTTCTTTCAAATGTGTGTTGGATTCTACTGTTTCAGAGGCTGCATCTACATTGTCTATTTTCGCCTCCGTTCGTTGCCGTGTATTTGATAGGAGTCTATTTACAAAGTGCTAATCATCCAGCAGCATCCATGAGACTGTCACGGAATTTCGGCAAAACCGTACCTGGTAAACTGCCTGTAGATCTTTCAGGAAAGATAATGTTGAAGATGTCGGCGTATCACTCAACAAAAACGGCATTAATTGTTGTTAGTAACACGACGTCATTTTTCTTCTCGCGATACTTAGGCTTAAAGCACCAAGTGCCAAATATGTAGATTACCGACGTTATTTTCATTAACTGAATGGGAGTGATGAGTCGAAAGGTGTATAATCTTAGGAAGAATGCTGGTCATTATCATTGTCTAAATCTTGAAGAACAAAATCTGATACTGATGCATCGCGTTAACATAATCAAAAATAATATGCATTAGAGACAAGTCACCTTCCTTCTTTTTACACATCGATATGTCATAGGTAGTATGGATATACATTTGTAGTGGCGTTGGGCCCTAACCACACAAACCTCAAAGCTGAACACGGGACAACTGGGAAAATAGATATTCAATAATTACCGCAGAGAAAAACCCAACGATGGAGAAAGAGGGAAGAATGAATGGAATTAATTCGAATTGATCGGACAGCATGGCTAAGCCTTGAAGACGTGTTCACCTTTAAGTGTTCTAACACAATCTTTTATTCATCACAAACATATGGTTCTATCTCTAGCCTAAGTTTGTTCTCCACCATATATTGCTGATTGTTACAATGCGATGAGTTGGTGTAGACAATGATGTGACTTTCACGTCAAATCTTACGAATTAGGCAATTACATCATGACGAATCCAACATTTTAGGATCAGGTCTATTATTAGAGTAGTAATGATAGTAGACCATAGTTTACCATCATTCTACACACTGGACAGGATTATCAGTCACATAACACTTGTAACGTTGTGTACTTCTTTCATACAGACCCCAAAATTGTCTCAAATTGTAAATCGTCGCCCTAACATACTACCTTTGAAGATTCATCCATCAACAATTAATTGAACAATAGAGGCAATCAGACAGATTGTGACTGAACTCTAGCAAAATTCCAAACATTTTTGATTTGACAGTTTCTGTAAGAACTTGGAAGATTTTGACAATCGATAGGATACAAGACGATTACATTCAAAGCTAACGTTGTACACTAAATTAGAGGAT